CTGACCATCTCAGGAGTGGCCTCCTGGGGAAGTCCATCTGTGACGGTCATGATGATCATGACAGTGATATGATGGTGATGGTGATGGTGATGATGGTGATTGTGGTGATGGTGGTGATAGTGGTAATGGTGGTGATGGTAATGGTAGCAGTGGTGATGATGATGATGGTGGTGGTGATTGTGGTGCTGGTGGTGCTGGTGGTGGTGGTGATGATGGTGGTGGTGGTGATGGTGATGGTGATGGTGGTGATGGTGGTAATGATGGTGGTAGTGATGGTGGTAATGATGGTGATGGTGGTGGTGATGGTGGTGGTTATGGTGGTGATGGTGGTGGTGGTGGTGACGATGGTGAAGATGGTGGTGATGGTGATGGTGGTGGTGATGGTGGAGATGGTGATGGTGGTGGTGGTGATGGTGGTGGTGGTGATGGTGGTGGTGATGGTGGTGGTTATGGTGGTGATGGTGGTGGTGATGGTGGTGGTTATGGTGGTGATGGTGGTGATGGTGGTAATGGTAATGATGGTGGTGGTGTTGATGGTAACTGGATCACGTGGCTGCCATGGTAAAATCCCAGACCCTGTGGCTTACACAATAGAGATTTACTTTCTCACAGTTTTGGAAGTTGGAAGTTCAAGGTCAAGGTTCCTGCAGGCTCCATTTCTGATGAGGCTCTTTCCTGGGTGTCGCTGGCTGCGTGGTCCCACTTGGCCTCCTATGAGTGTGTCTGAGAGGCGCTGCAGTCCTGTTGGATCTGAGTCACTCTTATCTCACCTTCATCACCTCCCACGGACCCTGTTTCTAAACCCGGCTGCATTGTGGGTTACAGAGCTGACACGTGGATTTTGGGGGAACACAGTACATGACAGTGACCGATGACAACAATGACAGCTGCAACATGTTGACGATGACTGTGGCAATGAGGATGGTGGTGACACTGACGGTGACGATGATCAAGGTGGTGGCCGTGGAGGTAGTGACAGCTGATGTGTGTCCTGTGCTCCCTTCCTGGGGTAATCAGCGAATCCTCACAGCCACCCTGTGACTGGGCAGTGGGTATTCCCTTGAGTTTTCACAGGGGGTGGCTGTGACTCAGGAGGTCCGTACCTGCCTAAGTGCCTGTGTGGACAGATGGCTGCAGAGCCGGGACCAGAATTGGAGCCCCAGGTCTGCTTCCCAAGTTGTTTCCCAAAGTCCTGTGGTCCTACTTGAAGGGATCTGTGACCTGGGGCTGGAGAGCGGGTTGTATCTGGGCAAGGGCGGGTCCAGCCCAGTGTCCCCAGAGGGCTTCCTTAGACCACTGGCCAGAGACCCTCGGGCAGGAGGGGAGGTGCTGGACCTGCTCTGCACCCTGGCCCCAGGGCGGTGGGCTGCTCTCCCTTGGGGGCCTTTTGGGGGCCTTCTGGGAGTTGAGTTTTGCTGAAATGTGACCAGAGTTTTCATCTCCAAAGAGATAGCCTGGTGATAGCCTGGGTCCGGGGCCTGACTGCACCCTGTGGATACATGCTTGTCACGCCCTGAGTGACAGAAGTCACCTTAGCATGTCTCCTGCATGGGGGCAGCAGGCCAAGGTTTTGTGTGACTTTGGAGACCTTACCGGGAACACTGGTTCCATGCTAAAGACACCCACTGTTGGAAACCTCGTGGTGATAGTATTTAAAAATAGTAATAAAGATGATGGACACAGTGGAGGTCACTGTCACCACTAGTCACCATCTGTAACGGCAGGACTCCTGCCAGGGCTCACAGTAATAGTGAGGGACAGCAGGGATGACAGGGACATACCCAGCCCAGGGTGTGGGCTCTGGATCTGCAGCCTTGGGCTAGAACCCACCCCCACTGCTTCCTGACTGTGTGACCTTGATCTTGGACACAGTGCTCAGCACCTGAGTTTCTTGGGATACTTGTAGCCTCTAGGGTTTCCGCAAAGAGGAAATGAGGTGGTCTATATAAAGCACCCAGCAGGCCTGCAGTGCCACCCATGATAATGGCAGCCGCCATAGGACAATGAACTCTTTTGATGGGCACGTGCTGTATCCGCATTATCTCATCTAATAGTCGACTCCACCAGAGTAGGAGTGACTTCTGTCAGTCATACTTACCACCAGAAGGCTAAGTCTCTGGTTCAAGGTCACAGTGGCAGCTGGCCTCTGGTCCAGTACTCCACACTCACTGCCCAGCTGTTGCCTCTCTGTCGACATGGTTGTCTGGTGGGGGGAGGGTGGAGAAAGCAAGCACAGGCCACCCAGAGCCCCTGGTGGGGGATGTGCTCCACAGCTGTCTCCTGGGGGCGGGGTTAGAGCCCCTTTGCAGGGTCCCCTAACTCCACCAAGACACAGCCAGGGGTCTTCTCTCCTGTGTCCATCCTGTGAGGATGGACACAGCATCTGGGCTTTTGCCTCAAGTTCAGGGGCCTAAAAGGTCAACGAGTGGTGCCTTGTTTGCTTGGATTTTTAACCCACCATAGAGACAGGTGGCTTTCACAGGACAAGGGATTGAACTCAGGGGCACTCAGCCACGGAGCCCCATCCCAGCCCTATTTTATATTTTATTTAGAGACAGGGTCTCACTGAGTTGCTTAGGGCCTAAGTTGCTGAGGCGGCTTTGAACTTGCAAGATCCTGCCTCAGGCTCCGGAGCTGCTGGGATGGCAGGCGTGCGCCACTGTGCCTGGCTAAAACTGTACATTTTGATGTGGTTACAAGTGACCCAAATCCAGGAATAACCATCAGGAGAGTCTAGAGGAGAGAGGAGGGGGTCCTGGCTGTGGTGCCATATTTTGAAGCAGGTGGGAGGTAGATAGAGAGCTTTTGCCGGTGGCCCTCACCCATCACCTCCCTGCTGTGTGTCCTGAGCAAGTCATTTGGCCTCTCTGAGCCCGTTTTCCTACCGCCCCCCATGAGCCTGGGTGATGCCAGGGCCCAGGCCCCACCTCCAGAGCATGGTAGTCAGGCTCCTGGATGACTGAATCGCAGCCAGGGTGGGGCGAGGGCTGTGGTGCAGGCATAGAGCACAGGGCTCACTGTGTTGATGAGCAGAAGAGTCCCCCAGCTGCCCTGGGTGTCCGGCCAGGAGGGAGTGGGCAGAAGCTTGGGCTTTGGGCCACTCAGCCCAATCCAGCTGCTTGAGAGAGTTGGTTGACCTCTCTTTTTCATTAGTGCATTATGGTCACGGTAACAGTGGGATTCTTTTGACACACCCGTGTGCATGGAATATGATTTGCTGTTTCAGTCCTCTGTACTTCAACTTTCCCCCAACTGGCCACTTGAGCCAGTGTCCTTGTTTGAAGGAATGTCCACCTCAGAGGGTTAAAGAGCATTATTGCAGGGGGGTGCGTGCCTATGATCTCAACTTGAAGCCAGGTGTGGTGACGAGGTGCCTGTAATCCCAGTGACTCAGGAGGCTGAGGCAAGAGAATGGAAAGTTTGAGGTCAACATGGGCCACATAGTGAGACCCAGTCTCAAAAAGGGCTGGAGACGCGGCTCAGAGGTAGAGCACTCCTGGGTCCAGTCCCCTGTGCTTACGGAATCCCAGCTTGAGCTCAAGGAAAGGCACAGGATGCCCTTGTGTGGCTCAAAATAGACTTGTCTGGGAAAAGGGCCCTTTAGTGATACCAGTTAAAGGGATCACCCATTTCTTTGAGGTGCACCGCCATGTTGTAGGGGCTGGGCTGCTTCTGATGTGCAGATGCAGTTCTGATTTTTTGGAGATGTTACATGGAACACAGATGTCTCATTTTAAAACTCCTTATATGGGCTGGGTGCAGTGGTGCAGGCCTGTCATCCCAGCAGCTCAGGAGGCTGATGCAGGAAGATTCCGAGTTCAATGCCAGACTTAGCAACGGTGAAGCACTAAACAACTCAGTGAGAACCTGTTTCTAAAGAAAATACAAAATAGGGCTGGGATGTGGCTCGATCTCCTGGACCAAAAAAAAAAAAAAAAAGAAAAGAAAATACAATCACGAAGAGGTGGGGAGCTGTGGCCTTGCCCCATGTCACAGAGGGGCGAGGCTGGCCAGCGAGGGCCTGAATCACACAGCAGAGCAGACGCACGGCTCCACCTGGGGTTCTGATGGGAGGGTCTTGCGGGCCTGGGCCTGGGCTCTTTCAGACCCTTGAGGGAGCAGCCTTTGAAGTTCTGTGCGCTCCACCAGAACCCGGAGCATTTCAAACATTTTTTGTTGTTGTTTTTTAAGTAAAGGAGGTGTATTTAAAGGCGGCCAGTCTGTTTCTGAAGGAGAAGGCAGACTCATCTACTTCAGGGGTTCACTGTAGAAGCCCTTCAGTGAGTTCTCCCTGGAAGCTGAGCCTCCTTGGGGATGCGCAACTTTGGGTAGCTCGGGATGGAGGGAGCTCCGGCAGGGGGACGGCTGCGGCAAGAAGGCCAGGTACCAGGCTGAGCCAGGACAACTGTTTCCAGGCGCAGCACCCAGGGACAGCTCAGAACGCACCGCCTCAGCATCGCACCCCAGTAGGACAGAGCTGGCAGAGGGGTCCTCCCTCTGGCCAGACTTGCCCGCCACCACCACCTGGAGGCTCTGGAGTTGGGGGCACCGCGGTCCCTGCCTAGAGCCACACAGAGCCTGGCCTGGAGACCTGTGTCTTAGCCTCATCCCCCCTCGTCCCCCAGGGGCTCTTCACGAAATTTGGTCCCCAGGTTAATGTTGCTGCCTCAGCCAACGTTTCTCAGATTTCCCTTTTTTGGTGGTGCCGGCGATGGAACCAGGGCCCTGGCAAGCCAGGCAGGTGCTGTCCCACCTGGCCCTGCTTCCCAGACACCAGAAACAGGTCACGGGAGAACTGCCAAGACTCAGGAGCCATCACCTGGCCCAGAGCAAGGAAAACTACCATTTCTTTTCACCTGTTCATAAAGTACCGCGGCTGCGGGAGAACCTGCCACAGCCCACGTCACTGCCCGATGGCGGGAGGGCTGCGCGTCCTTGTGGTCCAGGCTGCGGGCAGTGCCCAGGGTAAGGGTCCAAGAGACGAGGCTCGCCACAGAAACCATCGTCCTGCATTGTTTATTTGTTTTATATACACATACATAAGTGCACACATGGCTGCATAGCTACAGATCTGCTTTATGTACAGTCAGCTCTACCAAACAGTCAGACCAAGGCATTCCATGGGTAAATTGTCCCCAAAATAGATTTAGATACAATTAAGTCTTGATGCACAGCACAGGCGTCAGAACCTAAGACTGCGCTGCTGAGCTCGGTCCTGCGGCCACACACAGTTCAAAGCACACACTGAGCGCTAAGGCAACACGAGCGAGCTGAAAGAAACCACAGGACTCAGAACGGTTAAAGGGTGTATTTTGCTTGCCTCAGTCACACTGTGAACGGCAAATGCTGTGCGGCTTTCCTGCGGCCTGGGAAGCTTCTGGACGTCTCCAGTACGTGCATGGCGGTGGGTGGACGTCTCTGGAGCGGCACCGAGGCTCACTGCTCTGCCTCTCCTTTCTTGGGATCCTGTTTCAGTTTGTAATCGGCCAGGGCGGCCTTGATGGCGTCTTCGGCCAGCACTGCAAGGCATGGAAGGAAGAGCCTGTTCACAGACCCGAAGGGCACAGGTGCGGGGCGGGGGCTAGACAGAGTAACTCAGGTAGGCGGCCAGTCGCTTCCCACTCAGTGGCCCCTGTGGGGCTCTGCAGACAGGCTGGGGCTGACTTGCCTGGGACTGGAGTCTACCTCCTCCTCTACACTGGGACAGCCATGCTCTCCCTGCGGTGGAGACGTGTCTGACATGTCTGACACTTAGGGACACGACACATGCTGGTTTCTGCTTGTGTCCACGAGGTCTGGACTAAACGTGGCAGAGGCTGGTGAAGTCCAGCTGGCCTGAACTAAGTCACGCTGGGCTGTGGATGGGGTGGCACCTGCATGTCACCCTTTTCTGATGCCGAGTTTGAAAGCCTTTATTCAAGAACTGATATTAAAAGACACGGGGAGGACGCGACAGTGACAGCAGAGCACGGCTGAGGGTCTTGGTAGCTAAAAGGCCAAACAAAAGGCCGAGGTTGGGCTGGGGCTGGGCTCATGGTGGTGCACTTGCCTGGCACAGGGGAGGCCCTGGGTTGGCTTCTCAGCACCGCAGGTGAATAAATAAAAATATAAAAGGTCCATCCACAACTTAAAAAATACAGGCTGAGTCTCGCTGAGGCCGTGAATGTTTACAAGTAACGACCTTCTCTGTGGGTACTTAAAATTCCAGCTCAAGTGGGAAGAACCGGGCTCTCAGCAGACTTCCTGCCCCCGACCCTGGCCCCCCAGCACCTGGCCCAGGCAGCGGCTCTCTGCTAAGTTTTAACTGCTTTGGTCAGAAACCTTGATGGTGCGTTAGGGGGGCCACTCACTGCTCCTCATTCCCTCCTTCCTGAGGAGGTCAGGACGGGACAGGACAAGCACTGGATCTGACCTAGCAACTGAACTGGAAAGCCAAGTGTCAACCTGAAGGTGTGTGGCTTTCTCTCAGGACAGTGGAGGGGACGTGGCCCAGCTGGGTTTAAGTCCCTCCACACAGCCAGATGCAGACCTGACGGGGTGGCCGCTAGACGGGAAGGGATGAGACACGCAAGGCGCAGGATGTGGCTTACAGCTGAGTTTTCTCCTCCGTTGGTCCTACTGCTACCACATGATGGGGACAGCACAGTGATCAAGGACTGGGCTTAAATCGTGGTTCTCCCACTTACTAGCTGTGTGACACAGGTGGCTCCACCTGAGGGGTGGGCTTGGAACGATGCCCAGCGGGTGCCTGGCACGGCTCCCAGCGCACAGCACCTCCTGTGGGACTCAGGGCCTGGCTGAGGGACCCGGCTCGACCCTCTGAACTGCACAGACTGACTGAGCTCTGACTCCTGACGGCTGTACAGAGGGACTCCATGACCTACAAGGACTCTGTCCCAAACGCGAGTTGAAATGAGTGCCACATGTCCCTGCTGTGCAGTGGAGAGCAGACTCACTGGAGCAGTGCAGCTTCACGGGGGGAAGGCAGAGCTCCTTGGCGATGTCTGTGTTTTTGATGGTCAGGGCCTCTTCCACCTGAGGCGGGGGAAAGACAAGCAGTTTCGGTGACTGTTTTGAGGGTAGACAATAAAAAAGGAAGGTCTCCAAGGCCCTCAAGACAGGTTGGTGGGGGCAGTTTCTGCTTAACAACTCAGAACAGGGCTGCGGCCTCCTCAGACTCCACACGTGTGCCAGAGCTGCAGTGGGGCCTCTCCAGTCCACGTACACACACCTGCGCTGCTGGCTGGTGAGCACAGACACCAAGACCACACAGCCAGCAGACCCCGTGAGACATCTCCGAGGGATCTGCTGAGGCATCTTTTTTAAAAGGAGGTCATTTCTATGCTGCTTATGCAGGTCCTTGGGTGAGAGCTCAGGTTAGACTCATGCTCTGCCTGAAATAGAGAATATCCTCCAGACAGGTGAAGAAGGTGCCTGTGGTCTGGGCGGGACCCTGGGGGAGACTAGAGGCAGACAGGTCCTGCTCAAGAGGAACAGAGCAGGCGGGTGTGGTAGCGCACGCTTGTCATCCTTGCTGCTGGGAGGCTGAGACAGGAGGATCGTGAGTTCAAAGCCAGCCTCAGCAACAGCGAGGCACTAAGCAACTCAGTGAGACCCTGACTCTAAATAGGATACAAAATAGGGCTGGGGATGGGGCTCAGTGGTTGAGTGCCCCTGAGTTCAATCGCTGGTACCCCTCTACCGCCAGTACCCGCACCCCCCAAAAAAAAAAGAACAGAGAGGTCCACTGCAGAAAGAGAAGCCAGACGTCCCCAGCAGCCAGTGTCTCTGGCTAGTCCTAGAAACGCAGATGGGAAGATCTCAAAGTTAAAGGAAGCCCCTCGAGGCCAAGGACTTGGATCACATTTGCCTTATCTCATTTCCCCTTTCCCTGAAGACAGTTCCTGACCAACCTCTTTAGAGTCATCTCCCACTAGAATGGACCTGGCCTGTGCCCTCCTGGCCTACAGGAGCCTGCCAGCCAGAAGGCCCTGAAGCACAGGAGCGGGCGGCCCAGGCCCTGCTCTGCTGGGGAGCTGGCCAGCGCATCCAGTGTCTCCTTCATGACTCAGCTCCCGGAACCAGGCCCCTTGTGCATACTGCTGGTTGGTTTCGACATAGCAGCTTTAATGGCAACTAGACTTAGAAAGTCCAGCCCTTCACAGAGAAAAGGATGCAAAAGATGTCTGGCCCTTTCTTGTCTTTAGAGGGCCTGCAGACCAGCCACCGATTTGTCATTGGGCCCGAACCCTTGCTGTGTTCTTGATTCTTTAAAACCCCTTTTAACACACACTAGTTTAGCTCACCAATCTTTGTAAGGACTCTCAGAGTCCTTCCTAAAACAGGATGGGAGGAAATAAACAAGAAAATAACTACTTCACAACACCCCGTTGACCTTAGACTCCTAAGAAACTATGAGAACATCAGCGACCTTTGATAGAGTCAAAGATTTCTTTGCAATTCTATTTTGTCAGATGGACAGTGAGGAACTTTTTTTTTTCCTACAAAATTAACAAAACACCATCAAACCCCCAAATAAAAATGATCATCAACTACAAAATACTCCCAAACACTACTTCACAAAATAGTCCATTAATGTGAGGAATATAAGCAACATCTGGACAGGGAGAAACTAAATAAAAATTTTTGGATATTTTGAAGAAATCAAAAAAATTTACTTCTTTTTTTGACCCACTGGACCTCTGAGAGCCAAGGTCGCAGAGAACATGATTTGACCTAATAGGTCAGCAAGCAGCTTTACCGTCTTTCCTTTCACCCACTCAGTGGCTAATGAGCTGGAGGCGATTGCAGAACCGCAGCCAAATGTTTTAAACCTGGCGTCCACGATCTTCCCCTTTTCATCCACTTGAATCTAGAAAAGAGACAAGAATTACGTAGTGAATTTGGCGGCCACCTTCTAGAAACCCAGGAGCTGGTTCAAGGGGACCTTCCTTACAAGCTGGGCTTGCTGTATAGGCTGGAATTAATCAGTGACTTTGCTTGTTACAAAGAGCTCAGAGATAAGGATGGTGGAACGCTGCAGACATTACTCCCCTACAGACAGGCATGACCACACTATGGTGTGACTCTGCACCAGGCATAGCCAGAGGAAGGAGAAGCTGTGCTCCATTTGTGTACAATGTGTCACAGTGCATTCTACTGTCAGGCCCCGGTACCCGTCACCTGGAAAACTAAGCCCCTCTCTCCTAGTTTTCTTTGCAATCCTGCAACCCCAGCCCGCTTTTCTTTCTTTTTTCTTTTTTTAAAGCTATGAAGTCCTATGTGAGGACACCTGCTCACAGGTGCTGGGCACTCTGTTTCCTCAAACGTGGGAGAGTCTGCAACCAAGGTCTCTGGTTAATATTTTTTTCTTGGGCACGAAATTGTACTTAAAGATTCTCTCCTAAGTATTTTTCTGTTTTCCAAGACAGGTGTGAAGACCTCTGGCAAGTCTACCCACTATGAAGGAGACTGGATAAAGTTATGGTGTACCCAAACTGCAATCCACTACCTTCATGTTACTTTCTTTTTTTTTTTTTTAATTTATTTTTTTGCAGTATTGGGGATTGAACCCAGGGCCTTGTGCATTTTTTTTTTTTAATATTTATTTTTAGTTCTCGGCGGATACAACATCTTTGTATGTGGTGCTGACGATCGAACCTGGGCCGCACGCATGCCAGGCGAGCGCGCTACTGCTGGAGCCACATCCCCAGCCCCTTTCATGTTACTTTCAATATGGGAAGATGTTTGGTTTACTGCACTTATTATCTCACTGGGGACTGCAAAATCCACACAATACTTCACCCAGCTGAAGGTGGAATTTAAATTAACACAGTGATTAGAAAAGTGAGATTAGTTTCCTACTTCAGAAAAGGTCTGCATACCTGACTAGCAGAACTAGATTAAGTCCCTGTTCTAATCATTTGTAACACCAACTCCTCCCATCTCAATGGAAGGAAGGTGATGAAATGAAACACTGTATGTACAAATGCTTTATCAGCTATGAAACACTGTGTAAGCCAAGGGATTCCTAGTATTGTCATCAGAGACCAATCAGCTGGTACCTGTAATTTCATAACATCACCACACGCTGGCGCACCCACCAATCCAGTTCCAACGTTTTTTGATGTCTTGTCAAGGGACCCCACATTTCTAGGATTTTCATAATGATCCACAACCTGAAATGACAGGGTTGAGAGGAGTCATGATGGCGCTCTTCTACTGGTCTACCTTGATGTCAGCAACTTGTACCTGGAAGAAGAGGAAGGCCAACACTCATGTCAATGCCATTTGTGACCCAAACTCTTTTTGTATGTCCTCTCCAACTACCTTTAGAGATTAGAGACACTGTAGGAGATACTGCCAAAATCAATCAATCAATCAATCAATCAAGTCATGTCTTAGTTCCACAGGGTTTTCAACCACAAATAATCACTTGACTTTTGCACATCTGTATCACCAGACTGGGGCTCAAACAGTGTTTGTGTTCAAATAAAACCCATCCTTAAAGGATAATGCTTATTTAAAACTTCTAGAAATAACTGTGGTCCGGGAATGAAAGGCTTGCTTGGAAACATCAAGGCGACAGTTCTACAGAAGGAACACCGCTATGGAATGAACAGGTTGGTGTAGATTTAAAACTGCGCCATCTCTGCAGGTCAGGGCGGCGAACCTGCAGGCCGCAGCGCACCCTGGTGCCCAGAGCTGGCGACCTGCGATGTGAACGCGACACGCCCCCCGGGTGGGGAGGATCGAGGTCCTTGCAAAAGTGCCAAAAGTGCCGAAGCAAATGTCCAGCACAAATGTTCCTTCCAAACGGGCACAGCCGATCCTCTGGTGACCTTGAGGGCTGCTTGCCAGATGGCAATAAGTACCCCATCTTCTAGTCGCCCCCACTGTCCCCTGGACCAAGGATCTGGACTGCAGGTCCCGAGGACCCTCGAGGCGTTCTTCCCGGGGCACCTAGCGCCTCGTGGACTCCGCAGCACTTTTCCGAGGGGGTCTCTGGTTACGGGGACTTGACGCCCCGGAAGGCAGGGGGCTGCAAACGGGGCACCCAGCCCTCCTCCCCGCACTGAGAAGCAAAAATTAACCCCAAACAAACGACAGGAAGCGCCGTGCTCCTGGGCCGCCGGCCGACGCCCTCGGAGGCCACGGCCCCCTACGCAGCATCACCGCGGACGGTCCCCGCGTCGGGCCGGCGGCGCCCCCTCGGCACCCAGGACCTCTCCCTCCCTTCTGGGAAGCGGGTGCAGCCAGAGGCCGTCGCTCGTCCGGGTCACGGAGCCGGGGCAGCAGCAGCAGCAGCTGTAATTCGCACGGGAGCCGCGGACAGTGTCACTGCGCGGCCGGGACAGGGCGTCCAGGCAGCGGCACCGGGGCGGGCCGCCCTTCCCGGCCCAGTGACCCGTCGGGCGCCCGGGTCCCTTCAGTGGTCCGCGCAGCCCCCGCCCACCCATACCTTCTTGTGATAGAGCCGAGCCGGAGCTGACAGCTCCCGGGCAGGCAGGCGCGGGCTCCGGAGCAGCAGGGCCGATGCCGCTCGCCGCAGACGGCCTGCTCCAGCCGCCGCCATCTTGCTGGCTTGCGCCTGCGCCGGCGCCGAACTACTCCGACGGGAGGGCTCGCCCGCAAGTCGCTCTGACGTCACCGACTTTGCGCCTGCGCCCTCCCGCTCTGCGTTTTGGCCCCGCTTTGACCACGCCTCTGGGCGGGCGCGGACAGGTTGCAGCGCGAAGGTGTGCAGTCGCTGGAGGCTGGTCTTGGGCACTGGATTCTGCATGGGAATTCTCAGGCTGCTGCAGCACCGGACCCACGTCCACGTTCAAAAAACCCACCGCTGGAACGCGGCGCAGAGGATCACCCAGTCCGCCTTTCCTAACCCTATTTTGCAGTGAAGGAAGCTGAAGTTCAGAGCTGTTTAGTAACTTGTCCAAGGTCGTTCAAAGTGTTAGGTTCGCTTGGGATTTGAACTTGTATAGTCCTAGGTTAGAATCCGGGTTCAGCTCCTTCCTAGTTACGTGACCCTAGGTGAATGACGTCGGTTGGCTAAGCCTCGATCTTCTCTTTTGTACCAATTCAAGGACAGTGTTTTCTTCCATCATCGCAAATACGAGTACCTACTGTGTGTCAAGGCTCTTCTTTCTCCATTAAGTTTGATAATGAGGATTAAAGGCAATAAATAAACATCAGTACTTTCCTACTTAAAAAAATGGGAAGTTTAATTAAGTAGAAAACGAACACCACGGGTTGATTAAAAGAAAAGGTCTATTTGTTTAATATCCCTATAAAATAACAGCAACCAGTCACGATTTATACGACAGTGCACGGCAATTAACATTTTCTAAAGCAATGCTTATTAATGTAATTTATTAGTATTGTCTTGCAGAATATGGTCTTATAAAACCGGAAAATTCACATACATATTTAACGCCTACTAGGTACCAGGCGTTACATAAAGGAGAGGAATCTCTTTGGAAAACGGATTTTTCTCATGAATAGGGCAGCCGATCCTTCCCTAAGGACTTGGACTTTTTCTCTGCATTTGAGGCTTAGTTGCTGGGACTGAATCACACTCCAGGGCTCACTAGGCATTAAGTAAAGCATTTGTTCCAAGAATCATTTTGACCTTCTCAAGATGGTGTAAAACCCTTAACGACATACATCACGCTCCCCCTGTAACTTCCTCTATGATCTCCACTTCCTGTCCAAAGACCCAACTTCTGTCCGGGGTTGTGGCGGCACACATGGCTGCGTTAGTCGATTGTTTTCTGACAGGGACCTTTAGCGATACATAAAAGTAATATGAATTTCCTGTATTTACTAATTTTCCTGTCACCCAAGGCTCTCAGTTTCTCATTCGGTGGCAAGAAAGCGGGGTTTTAGTCAGGCGGACGCCTTAGGCAGCTTCTATTTCCGCGGGTCTTCGGCGGCCGAGGGAAGACCCGAGAGTCACTGGAAACGCAAGATGGCGACAGCGGCCGCAGCTTCGGCTTCGGAGCCGGAGGCTGAGCCCCCGGCTGGGCCCAAGGCTGAGGGAGAGGAAGATGAAGTTAAGGCAGCTAGGACGAGGCGGAAAGTGCTCTCGCGGGCTGTAGCCGCTGCGACGTACAAGACCATGGGGCCAGGGTGGGAGCAGCAGGAGGAAGGTGTGAGCGAGAGCGATGGGGATGAGGAGTACGCCATGGCTTCCTCGGCGGACAGCTCCGCCGGGGACTACGAGTGGGAGTACGACGAGGAGGAGGAGAAGAACCAGCTGGAGATCGAGCGGCTGGAGGAGCAGGTGGGCTGCTTCCCTCCCGCCCCAGGCCCCAGGCCCCAAGCCCCGTCCCGCCTTCTTGGTCCTGGGGCGGCAGTAAAACCCGCCAAGGCCGCGAAACCGCTGCCGGCCACCGAGGCGCGTGTGGCACGGGCTTAGAGCGTGTCCGGTGTTTGGCCTGCGCGATCCCACCGAGTCCTCGGCAGCACCCGATGAGGAGTGGGGTCAGCCCGGGCTTACGGGATCGGACGGGGGCTCGGGAGTCTGGCTGGGGGCAGCGCCTCCTGCACGCTTTGCTTGGGCTCTTAAGACGACCCGAACTCGAGTCTCTGCCACGCGGTTGCCCCGGGCTCGACAGTCGAAATAAAGCTAGTTCCTAAGAGGTGGATTTCCCTGTAGGATCAACGACGGGGACGAAGTACGGTGTCGGAGGAGAAATAGCGACCGAGGTCATAGTAGGATGGGAAAGCGGTTTCCGAGTCTGGAAGCCCAAGGCCCCTCCACGCCTGCGCGTCCTGGGGCCAGTTCCGTAAGCTCTGCAGGTCGGGAGCCACCGTTTCTGCATTGTGTAGTGGTCACTTGGTACCGAGCAGCAGGGTGGTTTCTGACCTGTGACCTTGCAAGGTGGTGAATTCTCCTGTGTAATCCTGGATCCTGGGAGAAATTAGCTTGATTTGAGAGCAATAAAGGGACGACTGTGCTTATGAAGGAGTGGGCAGGGGAACCCGGAGTGAAGGCTCGGTACACCAAGCCTGGTAGCAGGAGGACCTCTCCCCTCTTTCAGGCCTGAAGAGGTGAAGGGAATGATTGGTTACCCAAGTACTTGAGTGGAGAGGGCACCTTGAAAGCTGTTGATGCCTTGGTCGGGGTAGAAATGCCATAAATTCTGTTTTCCTCCTTCCAAACCTCTGCTGGTGTCTCCTGTAAGGCAAACCCAACGGGGAGCCAGAGAGCCAAGAAGCCGAAAATGTATTGTACTTCTGGGGTCACAGGACAGGGATGAGAGGAAAGAGCAGGTTTGGAGGTGTTGAACCCAAAGAGATTGGAGCACATTCTCATTTTGCAGATGAAGAAATAACGTAACGAATGATGAGATGATTTGATTAAAGTCACTCATAACGGGATTTGAAATCTTCAAAGGACCTGAGGACCAAATGCCACACTGGGTGTGCCTTCATTCAGTGGTTTGTAGTTGTGACTAACCTAGGCTACTCACTTCACCTTGCTGGGTGAGACAGTGATACTTTTGTTAAGTTATGCAATAGTGACATCCATTGTTATAGTTGGTCCCACTTGTCATCTCATCTGATTGTTAAAGGAACCAGCTGGGGCAGGCATGTGGCTATGGCCTCTACTTTTTTTTTGGTAAATAAGCATGGTGAAGCACATTTGGTTTTATTTATTCATCAAATACAGTGACATGGGGTGACAGACTGACTGTGTCCCTGTGCTTACTGAAATAATTGCCTTTCTGTGAGGTGGAGAAATAGGATCACTTGTTTCAGAAGGAAGGGGAAGTTGGAACCAGAGAAGTCTTTGGTGAAGCTACTTGGTCACAGGAAGGAGGATGGGTCAGAGCAGAGGTCTCTTGGTACTGGTGCCCTGTGGTTCCTTCCCCACCTCAGCTCTCCGAGGGTGGCAAGGGGCTCAGAAGTGACCGCACAAGATGGGATGTAGCAAGTGATGGTGAATTAGTCTTGGACCTAATCCTCTCGTGCTGGGGTTTAGAAATGGACTTTTCCAATGTTTCTCAACCCTCTCCCACTTTATCCTAATCCTGTGCCCTCCTGGAGCCTCCAGTCCAGCTGTCACTGCCCTGAGGGTGAAGCCTAACCAATAACTTCCAAATAGAGCTCTGAAAAACTCGGCCAGCCCTGTCGTGTTGGTGAGTCCTGCTTCCTGCCCCTGACTGTGCTTTGTGAGAGCTGTCTCTTGAAATATATCTGTCCACTGACAAAGGCACAGGTTTCCCATTATTCGTGTCTGTGCGCAAACTAAAAATGGCATCTCATGGTGCCTTAGGTGGATTTGTCTGAGCAGCCTGGTGAAGGACAAAGATAAGGCTTCGCAACCATCTGTGAATCCAGGCCTTCCCTGCAGGAGTGGGAAGGCCAGTTGGACACGCTGTTTCCGCTGTCTGAACCTGCTGTGAGTGTCCTAGTTGGTAAAGTGAATGAATATTTTATCTTCCTTACAGGGTGGTTTGGGAGCTTGAGTGACACAGTGCCTCTAAGGCTCTGACACAGTTGGGTACCTAGTAGGTGTTGCACTAGTCCTCTCCTCCCCCTCCCCCCTTCTAGGTGCAGGTGGGCGTGGCATCTTTTCCCACTGGTGGGAGCTGGAAATCAGCAGATTATTTTGTGCATTGATTGGCTAAGCTCTTCTTTTTTTAAAGCATCTTATGTCTTTAATGATGTTCTGAGCCTGGAATAGACTAGCATGTGCACTCTTTTGTTAGTATTGATTGAACTAAGAGAAGGTGTTTCTTGTAAGTGCAATTCAGTAGACATTTAACACACATACTTCCAGAATACTTCTCCCTTCCCCTGTAGGCAGGTCCTCAGTTTGGCCTAAAAGTAAGTCGTTCAGACAAAAGCCACTGTAAAGGCAGTTTCTCTAGTGATCTTTCTTCTGCCAGCCTGCTCATGGTACTGATGTGAGGGGCACGTTCGCAGACATTCCTGACACTGACTAGTAAGGACTGTCCCCTCCTGTTCCCCTTCAAAAGCCCATTTAGGCCCAGGTGCCATGACAGTGCTGATAGTGGGGAAAGCATATCTTTACCAGCCTCACACCGCTGGATTTTGTGTGACACTCCTGACACTTGGTAAGACCCATAAGAACCAGAGCTTGACTCTGCTCCTTCATGGCACAGGCAAGGAAGCTGAGGACCTGTGGCCTGGATCACTTGTGTCCTCGCCTGGGCCAGAGCCTTTTCAAGCCATCACGTGGTCATGGGATGGGTTGGGCCTGTTAGGACTTGTGAATCCTGAGCACAACACCATTGCCTCAAGTCTCAGATTTTTTAAATTATTGACCATGTTCTTATCTATTACTGATTCTTCTTTATTATCTGATAATATATTCTTCTTGAATATTATATGATAATATAATTATCAGATAATAATATTATTATTATCTGATAATTATATTATCAGCGTCCCCTCACATGTAAGTGTTTCTCTAACTCCTCTTTTTCACACTGGGGTCAGTGTTGTGGGTCCTGGATGCACCTCAGCAGATACAAATGGTCACCTCTGTTGTGTGTTATTTGTCTGTATAAGTCTGTTTCTGGGCTCTTGCTGCTCTTCAGTGGGTCATTTATCTTGTGCAGTTCCAGTCTAACTTCTTGTAGCTGAGACTCACTACCTCATATAAGGTATCCTCCTACTTGATTTTTTTCTTGAGATGTGTTTTGTTTCTCCCACATAATTTTAGATATATGTGCCAAGGTCTGTTGGGCTATTTATTTGCATTGTGTTGAATTTATGGATTATTTACCGTAAGTTGCTATATTGATTCTTGAATCCAGGAATGGTGTATAACTTCATTTATCTAGGTCTTTATAATGGTATTTTTCAATAAGATCTAAAAACATTTCTCAGTATGGATCTCAGACATCTCTCATTAGATGTAGAACTAGGTGCTTTGTAATACGCTAGACTACTTCAAATTATATTTTAAAACTTGCTGGTTTATACGAGTGTGATTGATTATTTTATTGTAGTAGAAAACAAACATTTTAAAAGGTGCAATTTGATTGTGTTAAATATATTCATGTTGTAAAACAGATTTCCAGAGCTTTTTCATCTTACAGATCTCTAGCCCAATACTCATTAAGCAGCTACGCCCTCTTTCCCTCCCTCCGATCCTGGGAACACCACCCTGTCCTGTTTCTATGAGTTTGGCTTCATTAGACAGTCACATAAGTGGGATCAGACATATTTGTCTTTATGTGTAATTGATTTTTATACATTGCTCTCAATGTCACAGTGCTAATCATATTTATAATTTCGAATGGTTTATTCGTAGATAAACTTTAGTTTATTCTTCAGTCATGTTATGTATAATTCTTATCCTTTTCTCTCTTGTGATTAATTTTTCTTCATCCTTTGTTTGAGCCTCAGACCTCTAGCTAGAGTTGAATAAAAGGTGATACTGGTATCTTTGTTGTTTTTAAAAGAATTTCTTCTAATGTTTCTTCATTAGTTATGTTTATTGTAGATTTTTGTAAATATTTTGACAGATTAAGGAGGTGCTTTTCTGTTTCTGGTTTGTCATTTAAACATTTTAATCATGAATGGGCATTTTTATCAAATGCCTTTTTTGCATTGAGATCATCATATTTTTTCTGTCAAACCTGCTAGCATGGAAGTCACAGTGGTTGCCTCTCATGCAGAACCACTTTGCCATTTCAAGAGTGTTATGCAGACAGAATCAGAGCAGCGGTGACCTTTGGGATTAGCTTTTTTCACCCAGCAGGATTCCCTCCTGTTCCCTCTATGACTGAGGATGTTCCAGGACACAGATGGACCACAGCCGGCTCAACAGCCACCTTTGAAAGACGCCCAGTTGTTTCTGGTTTGGATTTTTTTTAACTATATATATTTTTAGTTTTTTTTAGTTGTCATGGCACAGTACCTTTTATTTTATTTTGTTTGTGTGTGGGTGTTGGTGTGAGCGTGCTTTTTATTTCCCTGGGGAAATAGCCAAGCGTGTGCTTGGAGTTGTCCTTTGAGTTTCACAGGAGCTGCTAAACCCTTTGCCTGTTTTATTTTACAAGCAGTGTGTGAGGTTATGAGCAGGTTTTTTGTCGTATTCGCTGGCATTTGGTGTTATCCCTGTGTATTAGCCACTTTCGCGGCTGCCTTGCTTGGTGGCTGTGCTGTCGTGCCCTGGCGCTCGGCGTGCTTATTTGCTCTCTGCACGGCCTCTTTGGTGAAATGCTGTTTTGCCTGTTTTCTAATTGGAATGCTAAAAGTTTGTTTCTAAACTGTTGAGTTCAGAGTTACAGCTATAGATATTCTTAGTTCATTTGCAGCTATTTCCCTTCTGTAGCTCGTCTTCTCCTCTTCTTAAGGATGCCTTTTTACAGAAGAGAAGTTTTAATTTTGAAGAGGGCCAGTTTATCATTATGCGTTTGACGTCAAGTCTAGGAACTCTGCTTGGCTGTAGGTCAGAAGGTTTTCTTCTGTATTCTTTTTGCAGATTTTATAATTTTATGTTTTCCAATTTAAATCCATGGGAGTGAATGTAAATGTTTTTAAAATTTCTACATGTTCCTCATTTTAGGTGTATTTATATGTTGCTTGATGGTGTGGAGTTCTTGAGTCTTCCTGCTGATTTTCTGTCTGGTAGTTGCTGGAGGGGTGTTGAAAAGTCCTCAGATGAAATTGTGGCTGTGTCTCCTCTTTGGGCTGCACCAGTTTTGACTTCTTGTATTTTAAGTTGTTGGTGTTTGGTACATACACATTTAGGATTGGTGTCTTCCTGGTAGCTTGATAGAAAACTATGTTGTTCCTTTTATCATTATGTACTGTCCCTTTTTGTCTCTATTTTTTTTTGGGGGGGAGGGGTCCGAAGTATTTTTTTCCCTAATGGTACTGGGGATTAAACCCAAGGGTGCTCTACTGCTGAGCTCCATCCCCAGAACTTTTTGAGAAAGGGTCTCACTAAGTTGCTGAGTCTGGCCCCAGACATGGACATCTTCCTGCCTCAGCCTCTTGAGTCCTTGGGAATTCAGGCATGTACCATGGCATCTGATCATTTTCTGCCCTTTAATTAATGTGTATGGATGATTGGTTTATTGATATGCTAGCTCTAAAACCTACTTTTAAAATTTTCTGTTTGCTTCTTCTGGGTCTCATTCTTGTTTCTTTTCTTCCTGTGGGTTATAGGAATGTTCTTAGAATACCATATTGATTCAGTTACAGTGATTTTGATGTGTTTGGTGGTTTTCTCAGTGGTTGCTTGGGTGTTCCGACTGCCTGGTATAGTGTGGACTTTGGTGTGGTGTGGGAGTCACCCCTCCTCCTGTGTCTGTCACTTACTAACTAGTTAATTTGTCTCCTCCTCACGTACCATTCACAAGACTCCAGGGAGGACCCAGACACCTTTGTGCTCTCTCCTGTTTCTGTTCCTCCTCCCCTTCTGGGCTCCAGGTTCCTTCTTTTCCCATTTCCTTCCTGTTTGAAGACACTCATTGGCTGCTCTTTAAGGTTAGGTCTGCTAAAAAGTTTGTTTACGTCTTTCCTTTGTCTCTCTCTGATGTATGCTAGCTTTAAAAAGTTTTGTTTAAACTTTTGAAAAGTTTCAAATGTGAAAATAGATCTTCACGTACCTGTCACTCGGCTTCAGCAGATAGCAGCTTTTTGGACAAACCCAGTCCTGGTGTGTGGGAACTGGCTGCTCAAGGCGGGAGGGGCCGGGATGCTGAAGAAAGAGCCACACAGATCCAGGGTTGAATCAAGTGCGGTTTATTGGGGACTTATGGACAGAAGGGTTTCTTGGTAGTTGGATCCCTGTACCCCAAGGCAGGAGGAAGGTGTTTATATGTTAAGCCAGATAAAGGTGGTTGGTGGCCAACCCGAGTGTACTTGGCCTCTCACAAACTATTAACATATCTGATATGAGTTGAGAAACAGGCCAGGCGTAAATGGCTGGCACAGTATGCTTGCCCTCTGCCTTAACGTCTTTGTCTGCTAGGGTTGGGGGGGCAAAATGACCAAGGTGGATCTCCACACCAGCCTCTTGTCATTCTTATTTCGTTAACAGGAATTTTCATCTTTTTTTTGTTGTTGTTGTTTAGTAAAATAAAAGAGACCTTATAATGCAGTTGGCATGTGCTAAATTGCCTTTTTAAATCCCCAGAAGAGGCTTCTGAGCTAAAATCTAACAGTGTACCCATTTTATAGATGAGGAAATGGAGGCTTAGGGAAGTTAATTACTTGCCTAAGGATACACACTTTTGTTTGTTTCATTAGAATGTCTCCTTTATCTCAGCAAGAACCCTAGTGTCTTACTTTTTTAAAAAAGTTTTTAGTTGTAGATGAACACTGACCTTTTTTCTGTTAATTTATTTTTATGTGGTGCTGAGGATGGAACCAGAGCCTCCCACATGCCAGTCGAGCGCTCTCACTGAGCCCAGCCTTGGTCTTCTCAGAATGGGAGGGCTGTGTTGGTTACAGAAGTGCCTCCTGTTTTGTCCTGTCTTCTGAGGGCACGTGTATTTGGCTTCAGGTACCCATGTGGAGACAAGCTTTTGTCCTGAGGGGAGCACTTTGAGTTTCAGCTGGTCACTTTTCCTTCTAGCTGTCCATCAACGTGTATGACTACAACTGCCACGTGGACCTCATCAGGCTGCTGCGCCTGGAGGGGGAACTTACCAAAGTGAGGGTGGCCCGCGAGAAGATGAGCGAGATCTTTCCCCTGACTGAAGGTAGGCTGCTGTGGTGGGGGGGGGGCTGCTCTGGAGCAGGGAGAGCCGGGGACTGCTGTGAGTGCTGAAAGTGGGACGTGCTCCTCACAGGAAGCTTGGCACTATCGCACAGTGAACGGAAGAAAGCCCGCCCTCAGGGTCGGCTAGTTTGGGCTGGTTGTCTTGTAGTTTTTGTAAAACATGGTGTGATCACACACTGCAGATTCACATTTTGAATCTCGATTTATTTATCCCAATATTGTGATACAATTTTTCTATGTGATTGAACTTTACCCTGGTCTCTTTCCCATTCCAGTATGTATGTGTTTAACCTATTCTCTAAGAACCAGAAATTATAAATGTAATTCAGCTTTTATAGTTTTTCATGCAAATGTGTCATACTTAGCTGTTCACTGTAGTTGTGGGTGTAGGTGATTTCTGCATATTTGTTTATTAGAAACATGGTTGCGCTGAGCCACTTTGGAGTTAACTCTTCATGAACATTCATAAGTGCTCATTTGGGCAGAAGTCAGAAAGCCCTGGCCCAAGATCTAGCTCTGTCCCTGTCTTCCTGTTGCAGTGTAACTGTTGGGTGTGGAAGCCCAGAGGCCTTCCTTATGAGATCTGAGCAAATCACTTGAACAACCTCGCACTCAGTTTAAGTCTCCCTTTACTTGCAGTAGAGGGAGGGTAGCAGTAGTTTCCATCTTGCAGCATGTAACACAAGATGAGCCAGTCTGTGTTCACCACTTAACCCATGGTCGTACATCACTAGGTAGTGCCATTATTATTAATGTTACTGTCACCTACTTTATAGGATTGAGATGAGGATTGAATGAGAAAATACATATGTGTGTGTATATGTGTGTGTGTGTGTGTGTGTTTTGCAAAATACAAATGCCCAAGAGGTATGGGCAGTTATGATTTTTTTGAGGGGGGCAGGGACCAAGGATTGAACTCAGGGGCACTGACCCCTGAGCCACATCCCCAGTCCTATTTGTATTTTATTTAGAGACAGGGTCTCACTGAGTTGCCTAGCACCTTGCTGTTACTGAGGCTGACTTTGAACTCACTCCTCTTGCCTCAGCCTCCCGAGCCACTGGGATTGTAGGCATGCGCCACTGCACAACCAGTTATGACTTTGATGAGTATCTTATTTGAAAGAATAAAACCGGTGTGCTTGGTTCAGCTTTTAAGAATTGAATTTCTGGCTGTGTGCCCTAACCCTAACCCTAACCCTAACCCTAACCCTAACCCTAATCCCTGCAATTTAGGAAGCTGAGGTAGAAAGATTGCAAATTTGAGGGCAGCCTGGGCAACTTAAGTAGACCCTGTCTCAAAATAAAACATAAATAAAAAGTTCAAAAACTTTATTTTTTTTTTTTAAAGAATTGAACGTCTGTGAAGTGGTTCAGGTTGTGTAATTAAAGTGGATAAGATGTTTGTCCCTGAATAAAGTCCCCTCCCAGCCGTCCTTGGTGGAGGTGGTAACGCGGCGCTGTGTTGTCTTCTAGAACTCTGGTTGGAGTGGCTGCATGACGAGATCAGCATGGCCCTGGACGGCCTGGACCGCGAGCACGTCTATGAGCTCTTTGAGAAAGCTGTGAAGGACTACATCTGTGAGTTCCCGGGCTCTGTCGTTTGTCCTGGGTTGTGTCATGACATGTTGCTACCCGGGAAGGAGACACTGTCTAGCAAGGAGAAGATCCCAGTTCAGTTTTCCTTGTCCCTGTCTTCGGTGTTCAGATGAGGATATTTGGTTTCAAAACAAGGGCAGAAGAAATGTTTATAGTAGAGTAAATAAGCTTAACACTCAGCGTTTATCTGCAGGGTTGTCTTTTACACATCAAGTAGCTTTTCAGAGGTTTTGGACAAAACACCTTTTTAAAAAATGTTAAAACATTAAAAAATCTTTTTGGAGTGAATATAGATTCATAGGAAGTTGCATCATAGAGACGGCCTGTGCGGGCACTCCATCTGATTTCCCCAATAATCTCATATCTATAGCGCTGACCCAAAACCAGGAAATTTGACTTTGGTACAATGTGTGTGTAGTTCTGTCATATTTCATCATGTGTCCAGGTACAGAGTCATTCCGTCTTCACAGAGACTCTTGATTTCTTTCTTTTTTTTTTAGGTAACATTTTTTTTTTTTTTTTGGACTCTTGATTTCTTTATCCCAGTACTATGACAAATTTTTCTATATAATTAAACTTTACCCGGGTCTCTGTTTCCCATTCCAATATGTATATGTTTAACCCATTTGCTAAAGATGGGTGGACATTTTAGCAGAAGCCTTTCTCTCTCTGAGAGCTTATACCCTCCCTTATTTATTTTATAATTGTCTTTGGTATTTGACGTGCATGTGTTAAGGACCACATCAGACAGTGTTTGGACAAAATGCATTTAAAAAGCATTTAAAGGTGCTGGGTGGTGGCTCAGTGGTGGAGTGCTTGCCTAGCATGTGTGAGGCACTGGGTTCAATTCTCAGCACTGCATATAAATAAATAAGTAAGTAAAATAAAGGCCCATCAACAACTAAATATGTATATATATATATAAAAGCATTTAAAAATAGTCCCTCTTTTAATTAAAAATCCTTTTTCCTATTCTGATTATTCTGCCTCGCTCCTGTGGGCATCCCCCCTGTGAGAAGCAGTGATAGAAATAGACTGCCCTGGGCTGGAGATTTTTTTTTTAACAAACCTAGAAGAATCTATAATTTTCTACTTTTTATCATCTTATGAAAATAGTAGGTACCTCCTGAATATAAAGTCATACTAAATGTGCTTTTAGAAGTTGTCCTTGAGCCTCTGCCTCCAGGTTGCCCACAGGTCCTCTTAGACTCCCTGGTAGAGTGCATGTTTGATGTGCCCATGTTCCCTGTGGCCTTGTCCCCTCTCTGGATGTCTCAGAGTCGCCGTTAACAGCACTGCTTGTCTTTCTCTGCAGTCGATGGCCCTCTCCAGACTCTGATGGTTGTCGGTCCCTCGTGATTTGGCAGTTGTCGCTGCTGTCAGACCTTCCCTGTCACTCAGTGCTGATAGCCGTGTGCCTTCCTTTCCGCCACCGCATTCAGACCTGTTGTGGGCCAGGAAGCCAGATACATAAGCCTCTTAGATTATGCCTCATAAGTAATTTTATTTTATTTCTTTCTTTCCATATTCTTTATTTGTGCATTATGGTCATACATGATGATGGGATTTGTTATCTATTCGAACAGGCACACAGTGTCATTGGCCAATGTCACTCCCCCACACTTCTCCTTTCCCTCTCTGAAGTGATTTTAGATGAGACCCTGAGGCGTCCTGTCATTTTCAGGAGCTTTGTACATGGAAATTGTGTCAGTTGCTTTAAATATTCAGAAGCCACTTTTGCGTGCTTCTTAGTTTTCAGCTGTTTGAGACATTCAAAGATGTCAGACGTGGACCTCCAGATCTTGGTGTGTGCTTAGTAGTGATTTTCAGGCTGCTGAGAGGGCTGTCTGGGCCCTGGAGAGGATATGGCTATGGCCCTTTGGCCCTTTAAAGGTTTTGAAAATCGGGTTCTTTGATCTTTGGAGGAGTCTCAGGCAGAGGCTACGTGGCTATTTTGGGGCCTGGAATCTAGTGATTTTTTTTTTTTTGCCTTACATCATTGTATCATTAGGTTTTCTAAGTTTAAAATACTATTAATTTGGGGCTAGAGCTTTGACTCAGTGGTTGAGTGCTTACTTAGCATGGTAATGCACTGGGTTCAGACCTCAGCATCACATAAAAAAAATAAAATAAAAGTATTGTGTCCATCTACAACTAAAACAAATATTTTAGTTTTTTTCCTTTTTCTGGTGGTGCTGGGGATTGAACCCAGAACCTTTTGCATGCCAGGCAAGCACTCTACCAACTCAGCTACATCTCCAGCCCTAAAACAAATATTTAAAAAAATATTATTAATTCAGGAATGAGGCAAGGATATCACTTGTCACCAGCTCTCTTTTCAGCATTATACTGGGAGTCCACTAATGCAAGATAAGACCTGGAAGTGAAAGGGTACAGATTGGAAAGGAAGAAGTGAATAATCTTTGTTTTCAGATGACAAGATGTTAAAAATCCAAAAGAACTGACAAAAAAACCCCTCTAGGAACATTTGTTCTAAAGCAATTGTGGAAGGGCTGTAGGCTGCAAGGCCAGTATGCAAAAATCAGTTGCTTTTCATGTACTAGCAATGGAATTTGAAGTTAAAAATGTATTAACATTTACATTAGCATCCGCAAAACAAAATACTTAAGTATGAGGCTAACGGATTTGTAGAAGTTCTATAGGAGGAAGATTTAAAACCAAAGAACCGAATAAATGAAGAGAAATCCCTTCTCAACGAGAGGAAGGCTGAGTGTTGTCCTGTCCTTTGTTCCCAGTGGGCTACAGAGATGCAGCGCAAACCCAGGGAATCCCAGCAGTTGATTTTGTGAACATTGATGTACTGATTCTAAAGTTTTTATCAAGAGACAAAAGGCCCAGAATGGCCAACAGCCAGGGGAAGGACAAAGTTGAAAGACTGACACTACTCTACTTGAAGACTTTCCATGATTCTGTGGTAATCAAGAAAGTGTGGAATTGCCAAAATAATAGGCCAATAGATCAGTGGAATAGTATACAGAGTTCAGAAAGAGATCCACATAAATATAGTCAGCTGATCTTTGCCAGGAGCAATGGTAATACAGTGGAGAAAGATAGTTCTGTTCTTATTGGTTCATGTTAGTTGTGCATACATTAGGATTCATTTTGACTTAAATGCATGGAATATAATTGGTTCATATTCAGTTCCCAGAACCTACCCTCCTGCCTCCCTTCCCTTGTTTCCTTTCCACTACTGAAGAAGAGAGTTCTTTCAACAAGTGGTCCTAGAACAACTGGACGCCACATGGTCTAAATGAATCTAGACATAGCTCTTAGACCCTCATAAAACTTAACTCAAGATGAATCACACGCTCCAGTGTAAAAGCATGAAATTATAAAACTCCTAAAAATGGGGCTGGGGATGTGGCTCAACCGGTAGTGCACTCGCCTGGCATGCGTGCGACCCGGGTTCGATCCTCAGCACCACATACAAACAAAGATGTTGTATCCGCCAATAACTAAAAAAAAAAGAAAAAAAAAAAATAAAACTCCTAAAAAGATAACTTGGAAAATATGACCCAAGATGACGTTGGATTTGGTGACAGCTTTTTAGAGTCAACACAAGAGTCATGATCCACAAAAGAAAGAATCGATAAACTGGATCTTGTTCAGATTAAGCATTTTTGCTCTGTGAAAGATATTGTCAAGAAAGTAAAAAGAGAGGCCACAGACTGGGGAAAATATTAGTAAACACATACCTGATAATGACTGTTATTCAAAATATAAAAGAACTCTGAAAATTTAACAATAAGAAAACTAATAACTTGATTTAAAAAGTGGTCCAAGGATCTTAATTGATTCCTCTGCAGAGAAGATACATTTTTGAGCACTTGAAAAGACTCTCGACATTATGACAACAGGAAATGCAGATTCAAACAGCACGAGCCCACTGTGCTCCTGTTAGAAGGGCCAGGAACACTGGCAGCAGCAAATGCTGCTTTGGTTTATTGCTGGTGAAAAATGCAAAATGGTATGGCCATTGGGAGGGTGGTGGGGCTAAACATATTCTGGTCCATCCAGCCTGGTGCTCCTTGGTGTGCGCTCGGAGGAGTTGAAAACTTCAGTCCATAAGAGCTGCCGCATGGATGGATATAGCAGCTTTATTCATAACTGCCAAAGCTTCAAAACAACCACGATGTCCTTAAGGGGTGGGCTGGTAACAGCCGGGTATGTCCAGGTACTGACGCACTGTGCAGTCCTCCGAAGAAATGAGCTGTGCAGCCATAGAAGGATGTGGAGGAGACCGAAGTGCAGCTTACTAAGTGGAGAAGCCAGTTGGAAGGCTCCATCCTATGAGTCCAACTAGGTGACATTCTGGAAAAGGCAGAACCACGGGGACAGTAAAAAGATGTGGGGTGAGGGAGAGGGAGAGGGAGAGGGAAGGATTCGTGAGATCAGTGGAACTGCGCTGGGTGATGTCGCAGTGGGAGACACGGGTCTTCAGAACATTTGTCCCAACCCACAGAGTGGACGACGGCAGGAGTGGACCTGATGCAAACGGGGGCCTGAGTGACAATGACGTTTCCGTGTGGGGTCCTCCGTGGTAGCGGGTGCACCTCTGCCTCAGATCTGGCAGCTGGCTCACTTCCGTTTTGGTTCTGTAGCCCGTGGGCATCTCTGCTGGTGAGCGAGAGCGGGGCAGCTAACAGGCTTTGGCCGGCGTTGTTTGGAATAGGTCTCCCAGTGAAGCAACAGCCTCGGGCACATGTAGTGATCGTCAAATTGGCTTCTACATCCTTTAGCATTTTTATTTTAAAGTTAGTGGATAGGCCTCTGAAATTATTTCAGGTCCCTAAAAAGTGACCTAATAGGCAAAGTGTGTAGTACAAGCAGTGATGCATTCATGCAGTTTTAATTTGTCTGTCTGGTCTTAAAGGTACACGAGTGGGGATAAAGAAGGGTCAACAAGAAAGTGGAAAAACAAAACAAAACAGGGCGACCAAGTTGTTTTGTTTCAACACCATTAAGAAGGAGACTTAAAATAGAGATTTCTAGTAATAGGATTAGTGCTTTTAATTTTAGTCTTTCACTTTAAACTAGAAGACTTAGGAATTCTTAGGGTTCAAAAGTTGAAAATTCTAGGCTTTGAAATTTTTCTTAAGACTGACTGGGCTTCGTAACTATTTTCATTGAAATCCATTTCCATGTTCTTTCAGTTTTAATAAATAAATGTTGTAAGCACAATCAAACTGCACAGTACCACTCGGCATGTCCTGTTTATAAAGTAAATTTTTAATGATTGTACTTAGAAATATATTTTAAAATAGTTGATGGTGGCCCTTTTTTGTGTTTTGCATGAATGAGGACACATTTCTTTTGTTATGCGTCAGTTTTGATATTGGGTATTGTACGTCTGGAGCTAATTGAACACTTCTCATTTTTAGGTCCTAACATTTGGCTGGAGTATGGTCAGTACTCCGTTGGTGGGATCGGTCAGAAAGGTGGCCTTGAGAAGGTCCGCTCTGTGTTTGAAAGGGCTCTCTCATCTGTCGGTTTGCACATGACCAAAGGACTGGCCATCTGGGAGGCCTACCGAGAGTTTGAAAGTGCCATTGTGGAAGCTGCTCGGGTGAGTGTCCAGGTCTCCAAGGCCCATGCTTCTCTCTTAATGGTCAGGGGTGGTCTTTCTGAGTCTTGTAAGTATCATTTTGAGACAAGGGTTCAGGATAAGTCTTACAGTAAACATAGTTAACAAAATAGTCCTTGCTAATCTGTTTGTGGATGGACAATAAAATAAATAAAATTGGTAGTATTTGTGGAATAGCAAGAATGGTTTATTTGACTTAAAAGCAGATGGCTACTATTTTTTTTCTGATATTTTAAAACACTGCTTTAGTTACAGGTGAATGCAAGAACAGCATAGCATTTCACTAGGGAAAATGTTGGGGAGGGAGGTTTGACCTCATACTCCATAATAATTCATTTTTTAAGATTATGATTTATGGAATTCTATAGCCGAGTCCCCTCTGTGCTGCATGTGCAATGCACAGTTGTCAGTGATGCATTGTGGGGCCCCTGACAGGCCGTGGTAGGTTGAGCATCCCTTATTCAAAAATTTGAAATCTGAAAAATGCTTCAAAATTTGTCACAAGTTGAAATTCCACACCTACTGTCATGTGATGCTGGGTCACAGTCAGGTGCACTGAAAATCTTGTATAAAATTTCCCTCAGACTGTGTGTATAAAGTGTCTGTGAACACACAGGCCCCCCGCCCCCAGGCTAACTCGCTGTGTATGTGCAGATATTCTAAAAACTAAAAGAGTCCAGACTCAGCGCCCCGTCCCCTCAGCACGCATGGCCCAACAGCCGCAGGGGCTTCTGGGTTATTCCCCGCTTCAGAGGCTGGCGTGGTGCCTTCGCCTTACCCGCGTGACGCTTGCGACTCTAGGGTCAGACTTGCTCCCTGCAGGACTGTGCTCCCACTGTGCCCCGAACATCCTTGCCACTGTCCTTTATTGAAGTGGAAGTCTCTGAGCCTGCAGTGCGCCCCAGGGCCCCTTCTCTGGGATCTGCCTCATTGCCCCGTCTCTGACGGCAGGGCCCCCTCACAGGTCTCATCAAGCAGGCCCCGTAACTCGGTGGCCCTCGTTGTGCTTTGCTCTTAAGAGACTGAAGCACTGTGGCCATTTGGATGCGTTTCTTCCATTATTCTTGGCTCTTCCTGTCGCAGACCCTTACAGGCAGGGGTGTCGTTTACTTTTGGGCACCCCTGGGCATTTGCTCGGATGCCATCTGTGTAAGAGGAGGTAGAAAAGTTTTTCTAACTTGAACCGAAAAGTTGATGAGATGTTTTTTGAAGTAGAAAGAACCAAAGTGTGCCATTTACTACTAATTTGCTTCTTTAGCCCATGGCTGGCTTCCTTTCCCCTTTTGACCGGGAACAAACCTTTGATTCACAGCTTGAGAAAGTCCACAGTCTTTTCCGGCGACAGCTGGCGATCCCCCTCTACGGTAAGAGAAACGGCTTACAGCCCGCTGTGCTTTAAAATGCTTTCTCTGACTGTCCTGAGCTAGACCTTCTCTGTCCTGTGCGGAGCTGGGCCTGGGGTTCTCATCCTTACTGGACAGTGTCACCCTGGATGAGGTCCTTAGTAAAACCTGTGTTGAGTTGGAATGCCCAGGAGGGTCGTCCGAGTCCGAAGGACTGGCAGCTGGCCCCTCCGACCCGTGGAGTTCTCCTCCCTACTTCAGCATGTGGTTGGGAAGGGGAGATGGTCTCTGAAAAGAATAGGAAGACAGACACCTGCATTTCCTGGAGAGACTATTGAATAAAAATTTTGTTAAAAGCATTTTCTTTTCATGAGTAGCCTCATGGGCACCCGGGGCGGGGGGGGGCGGTCATTCCTCTGTGGAGGCGCTTTGGTTCAGAAGTACAGTTGGCTGGCTAGACTCAGGTTTGAATTTAAGAGTCTCCCTTTTGGCTGAATACGTTTTGGTGAGGTGAGCCTTTGGCACTAGAACTCTGAGCAGGGGCAGCACTGGAGGACTTTCCAGTGTGGGAAGCGTTTGGCGCTGTCCTCTCATCTGTCCCCAGCGCATGGTTACACACTAGGAGCCTCTGGGCAGCTCTGCTTGAGCCCAGCTGTATTCGCCTTTGAACTTCACGGTTTATTTGGACTGTATTGAACGTACTAGAAGGAGGCTGTCTAATTGGGTGACATGCGGCAGAGGTCAGAACTGAACTGGTTTGTAGCTTTCATCTCGCACACCACTGGGAGACAGCCTGGCTTAGTGATTAGAGTGTGAACTTGGACCTGACTGTCCTGTTCAAAGCCTTGTTCTGCTGTTACCTGTGGAGAAGTCACTTAACTTTCTGCTTCAGTTTCTCCATTTGCAAAATGAGGATTATGATAGCGCCCGCCTTGTAGAGTTGCGAGTGCTGATGGGGGATGGATGTGTGGTGTTAGAATCAGCCCTGACGCCCTAGGTAAGTGTCGCCCACAGCTTCAGTGACTGATGAGTTGACTGGTAGAGTTGTCTGGCATGTCACTTTGACACAGATTCTAAGGCCAAACTGGGCTCAGCAAAAGAACTCAGAATGTGATCTATAGAGCTGCCGTGGCCATGGATATGGGAGGGGCCTAGTGGCACTTGAGTCCATGACATTTTCTATGTTTGAGTTGATAAAACCCAGTGCAAGACCCATGGGGCTGAATTCGTCTTTTGATAGATATGGAGGCCACATTCGCCGAGTATGAAGAATGGTCAGAAGACCCAATACCAGAATCGGTAGTTCAGAGCTATAACAAGGCGCTGCAGCAGTTGGAGAAGTACAAGCCCTATGAAGAAGCCCTGGTGAGTGTCCTGCTTTTATGGGGACCTTCTCTCTGCACACATTTCCCTGATGGATAGTTGCAAGTTAACAGTATTCTTGAAAAGTATGTTTATTGTGCAGTATATAGAGTATTATAATGTGCACCTACAGTTTACATCGTATAATAAAGTGAACATCCATGTACCCACCACCCAGGTTAAGAAATAGAACATTGCCAGTACCTTAGAAGTCTCCTATGTGCCCCTCTCTGATTGCCTCCTCCTCCCTCTCCCGAGAGGTAATCACTTTCCTGACTTTTGTGATAATCATTCCCTTGCTTTTCTTTATAGTTTTACAATGTATGAATGCATCCTTAATTAATATATTGTTTAATTTTGCTTGTGTTTAAACTTATAACGTATTCTTCCTGTATATCTTCTTTCATCCAACACGTTTTGGGGCTTTATGTCGAGGAGTAGAGTGACAGTCCATTCGTTGTCATTGGTAGGAGGTTGTCTGTGTGTGCCACAGTTGGTGTGTCCATGTGGCTGGTGGGCAGTTGGGTGGTTCCAGGTTTTTGGTAGGAGGGTCGCTGTTGCTTGAACATCCTGGTTCGTGTCTCGTGGTGGACACGTGGGAGGTTTGCAGTGTGTATTGGGCAAGAAGGTGCTGGATGGTCGGGCGATGCCCGTGTCTCAGTGGTCTGTTTGCCCTCCAGCCAGCGGCATCTGAATCGCTTTCTCGGGCCACTCTTGCATACTTATATTGTAGCCAAACTCTGATAAGTTTGAAATTATAATTCTAATTTGCATTTTCCTTGATTACTAATGCAGTCGGACATCTTTTTATGTTCACTGGCCTTTTTTTGAATTTCCCTTTCTGTGAAGTGCCCATGAAAATTTTGACCTCCCACCCGTTTGTCTCCCCGAGTTGTGCTGGAGTTGGCTGCGCCCCAGTCCTTCCCGTTTTTGTCTGTTTCTGTTGGGTTCTTGGGAGCTCTTATTCTTGTCCCCCACCCCCGCTCGTGGCTCCTCTTTTCAGTGTCCTGTTTAGTGGTGTCTTTGGATGAGCACGTCTTGACTTGACTCTGGCCAGGCTTGTCCTTCTTTCCCTTTGGGTCGTGCTGCCTCTGGGCTCACATCAGGCCTCCTGTCTTTATGTCTGTCTCCAGCTCTCTTCTCCTCGTGGTCGCCTCGTCTTTGTCGCATGTTTGGGTCCCTCACTCACCATATTGGTCTGTGGTGGTGTGAGGCCAGCTGGCTGCTCTCGGTTCCCAGGTGGAGACGTGTGGCACCCCGGCTCCTGTAATTCCACCCCCCCCCCCCCCCCCCCCCGCGTGCAGAGGGCCCCCTCTCCCACAGGTTAACCGTCCATTTGTTTGCCCTGCCCCCCCCGGGGGGGGGGGTCTCTGCTGGCTTGTGTTGTGCTGTGGGCAGCGGGGATGGGACCCAGGGCCTCCCCGTGCTGGGTCAGTGTTGTGATACGGTGGTTTCAGGATGTGTTGGGTCGGGTGAGTCCTCCCCACCTCGTTCCTTTTCAGAGGGACTTGGCTTTCTTTAGTTGTTGGTGATTCCATTAAACTTAAGAGTTAGCTTTTAAAATTCTGTGGAGTTTTCATTTGGAATCATATTGAATCTGTAGATTAGTTGGAGGAAAAATTTATGTCTTCCAATCTGTGACCATTTTATAGGTCTCTGCTAGTTAGGTCTTTCTGAAAAGCTTTCTAATAATTTTACAAATTAATCCAATGTTTTAAACATTTTTAGATGTATTTGTTTTTTGAATGTACTTCTAAATGATGTTTTCAAAGATTTTATTTCCTAGTTTTCTTGGTGTATAAAATGCAATCAATATTTTATATTAATTTTTTATTTTTTTATTTTATTTTATTTTTTTTATATTAATTTTTTAAATCAACCAACATGTTGAATTATTTTGTTAATACGTGTGTGTGTTGGGTAGAACAGGGATTGATGCAGGGATGCTTCACAAACGCTGAGCTCCATCCCCAGTCCTTGGTAGTTTTTGTTTTGAGAGGTCTTTCTAGGTCGCTGAGGCTGGCCGCGAGCTTGTGACTCTCCTGCCTCATCCTCCTGAGCTGCTGGGATTGCATGTGCCCCTGCCCTGCTGGCTTCTTATTATCAGGCTCTGGGGGCTTCGGGATAGTGGCTCTGACAATACTATTTGTAAGTGGCACCCCACCCCTACTCCGGCGGACGGGCGCTCTCGTTTTCCCCTGTCTTGCCTTTTGCTCTGAGCTGTCGGTCTCCCTATTAGCAGTGCCCTTTATGCTTTTGCGAATGCCCTCGTGCTTTCTTTGCCTTCCTTCCGTCTTGAATCCTGGAGTCTCAGCTGAGATCTCGGCTGGAGTGTCGTCTGGGAGGTCTGGCTTTCCTGGTCACTCTCAGGCTGCAGACGGTGCCTGGCAGCTGTGTGCTCAGTGGCTGGCCAGCAGCTGGCCGGCTCTGGCTTCTGGGCTTGCCGTCGGGAAGGTAACTGCCTGCCTCCGGCCTCCGGCCTCCTGCCTCCTGCTCGTTGAGGTCGCGTGTTTCTTCTTCCTCTTCCTCCTCCCTCTTTGTCTGCTTTGCTTTGCTGCTGCTGCTGCTGCAGGCAGCGGGATGGAACCCAGAGCCCCACGCATTCTGGACAGGTGCTCGGCCCAGCCAGCCTTGTTGTCCTGCTGGCTGACTTTAAGTCCTCCTTGGTTGGCTGGATGTCCGCAGCGCCCTTACCACAGGTCCAGAGGCGACTGTCTCTTTGTTGGTCCTGTTGGAGGTTCGTGGGCTTCTGGATTCTGTTTGGTCCTTCCTGGCACAGCGAGTGGAGCACCGACTGCGAGTTAGGCTGCCTAGGTGAGCCCTGGTCCTGCCACTCACTCTGACTCTGTCGAGGAGTGAGCCCCAGTGTCTCGGCTTCCCTGAAGGCAAGATGCGGACGGCAGTGAGACTCGCAGTGTGACGGTTGTGAGATCAGATCTTACTGTCTGCTGAGCCATCGGAAGCTCAACCTCCCCTCAGCAGCTTAGCCTGCTGCCCTCTGTTAGATTTTCTCCTTAGTATTTCCTGTTCCTTTGTCAGTTTGTTAATTTTTTAGGAAGATTTAAAACTATTTAATCCAGCAGTTTTCGCTGTTCTCAGTGGCACACTTTGGGTGGTTTGCCATCACACGGGAGGCAGGTGCTATAGCATCGTGTCTCTGTGTAGAATGGGCATGCCCTCTGCCCAGCCTGCAGGCGCCCTCTCTGCTCAGCCTGCAGGTGCCCCCCGCCCTTTACCTGTAAAGGTTGGTTGTACGTGTGCTTCACAAACCTTGTTAAGGAGTAATGCTCACCAGCTGAGTTTTGTCATGGCCATCAGTGCAGTGTGGCTGAAGAAAAAATAAGTTGAATCAGAGGATGCTGTCTAAAAAGAGTTTTGCTCCTGTGTCGCTGGGTGCGCCCAGCCCAGCTTCCCTGTCTTTTCCCCGGGCCTGTGCCCCGTGGGAGCTGGTGTTTGGAGTGAGCTACCTGGTACAGCACAGGCCCTGGGTTTTTCCAGTTGGGTTGCCTTTATGCGGCTCAGTGAGTTCTGTGGTGAAGGATGATTGGCAGCGGTCATTGCTCTTTCATTCACTTTCTGACTGGTGACCACTTTAAATTCCCTGTGGTCTAGGAATGTATTCAGTTTTGGAGCCTTTGTAACTATTGCTGTGAGGGGGCACTTTGGACCAGAGGAGAAAACTAGGGCTGTGCTCATCAAAGTATCCACCTGTCTTGGAGTAGTCCCGAGAGGGAGGATTTGGTGATTCTTCTCCTGGTATAGCCACTCTTGCCAACATTTATTTTATTTGGAGATGTTTTGTGTTTCCTGACAGTATCCAGTAACTGAATTAAACCCATGTACAATCTTCCTGTGCTCCAGCTGCAAGCAGAGGCACCGAGGTTGGCAGAATATCAAGCGTACATCGATTTCGAGATGAAGGTGGGCGACCCCGCTCGCATTCAGTTGATCTTTGAGCGGGCCCTTGTCGAGAACTGCCTCGTCCCAGACTTATGGATCCGTTACAGTCAGTACCTAGTAAGATAACCGTTCTGCCTTGTTTTGTTTTTGCCAGAATATGATTATAGGGCATCATTAAGACGGCCAGAAGTTAGTTGCATGTGCTGGGTGCAATGGCACACGCACACCTGTAATCCCAGCGACTTGGGAGGCCAAAGCAGGAGGATCATAAGTTGGAGGCCAGCCTAGGAAAGTTTGTGAAACCTTGTCTCAGAAAATAAAAAGGGCTGAATATGTAGCTCAGTGATAGAACTTTGGTAGGTTCAATCCCCATCTCCTCAAAAAAAATAAAAGAAATCTGCTGCCTTTGTCCCCCTTCTCTATCCTCCTGTTCTCAGACTCTTTGTTACTTTGCTCAGGGATTTCTTCTCGTGTTTGAAGTTAATTTTTATCTTATTTTTTTGTTACTAGAGATGGAAGCCAGGGGTGCTGTGGGTTCAACTCAAGGTATTAGAAGACTACATTCCCAATTCTTTTTATTTTTTATTTTGAGACAGGGTCTTGCTAAGTTGCAGAGGCTAACCTTTTACTTTTGATCCTCCTGCCTTGACTACCTGAGTTGCTGAGATTATAGGTGTGTACCAATGTGCCTGGCTTGAAGTTATTTTAAACTGATCACTAACTGTGTAAAAAAATGTGCTTGTATCCCTACTCTTGAGGACTTAATAATGGATTGTTTTTTTCTTTTTTAACTTTTGATTATAGAAAAAATATAAACAAAAGTAGACAGACTAGGAAAATGAAGGCTTATATATCCGTCTTCATCTTCAACAGTGGTTAACTATTGTGGCTATATTCTGGGTTCATCTTTAATTTTACTACTTTCCCCTTTTGTGTTATTTTGAAGCATATCCAAAAATGATATTTCATTGAGAAATATTTCTGTATGTACATACAAAAGATCCTTTTTATATAAAAGGATCCAGACATGGTTCACATGTTAGGATTGGTTGATGTCTTTTAAGCCTCTCTTACCTAGGTTCTCCCCACCCACTCCTCACTTATCTACTTCCCTGGCAAAAGAGAAACTGGGTCAGAAGAGACATAATAATGGAAATTTCTCTTGTCACTTGATTGTGCTGACAGTGTCTAGTTGATGATGAAGTTTTTTTTTTTTATTGTTGTTGCTGGACCTTGTATTTTATTTATTTATGTATAGTGGTGAGACTTGAACCCAGTGCCTCACATGTGCTAGGCAAGCGCTCCGTAGCTGAGCCCCAGCCCCATCCCCAGCCCGATGATGAAGTCTCAACAAGAACATTTTGTCTTCTCACCCTGGACTTCTTTCTCCTAGGATCGGCAGCTGAAAGTGAAGGATCTGGTTTTGTCTGTACACAGTCGTGCTGTTAGGAACTGCCCCTGGACTGTTGCCCTGTGGAGCCGCTACCTCCTGGCCATGGAGAGGCATGGAGTGGAGCATCGAGTGATTTCTGGTGCGTGTGTTTTTGTGGGAAGACTTTCTGAGCTTTTTGTCCCAACTGAGAAATGAACTGGGAAAAGTCATGAAGTTAGCATTCCCCAGGGTTTTCTTGGAATATTGAGTACTAGTGACCAAAGGGGCTCTGAGTGGAGGTAAGCTGGCTGTGTTGGTGGCTCCTAGATCTTTCCAACATGCTAAGACTAATTGGGATCATTTGTAAAGGAGCGGTGGTCTGTTCTCCATCCGGGACTCTCCTTGCAGGGCGTCTGTGGAGTGAGGCCTTCCAGAGCACTGTCTGCGGTGTCGTGTGAGCCTCCCTTTGGAGCATATTTCTCCAGCGTACCTCACTTCTGTTTTCTAAGTCATGAGGTGTTCTGAAGTCAGGAGGGTTCAATAACTTTATACGAGCATCTTTTTGAATTGGCACTGAATCCTGACCTTTTCTCCAACTTCAGTGACCTTTGAGAAGGCTTTGAATGCTGGCTTCATCCAGGCCACTGATTATGTGGAAATCTGGCAGGCGTACCTGGATTACCTGAGGAGGAGGGTGGACTTCAAGCAAGGTACTGCAGCACCCGCTCTCCCTGGAATTGGGCTTCTCCTGACACCTCCTGGGTGCCGTGGTTTAGTTCCCCAGGCCAGGCCTTGGCACCCCCCACCCCCGGGCATCAGTGCGCTGTGGAGAGGTGCCCAAGGTTCCTGTGCTCCTGCCAGCCTGCAGCCTCCTCTCTCAGTTTTCACTTCTTCTTCTCTCTTTTTTTTTTTTTTCAATAAGTTCCAGATAGTTTTTAAAATAAGGCTGATGATGTCCTTTAGCTGTTTGGCTCTCTGCAGGACCCCTGCTTGATGCCCAGCTCCAACCCTACTCCCCCAAAAGAAAAGAGGAACCCCAACGTGTGCGTGGGCACCACACGGTGGTTATTTTGTGCAGGTGGCCTTCAGCCGTGCTCCTTCTGGCCTTCAGCTCATTTGGGGAGACCCCCCTCCTGCTGTGGTTCCCCACGTCCCCTGTGCGCACCTCTGGCTCTGCCCTCTGTCCCCACTGTGTCCTTCCCTCATCTCATTTTTCCCTTCTGTGGGAAGAGCAGGGACGGGGCTGTTGTTTCTGGTCTTCCACCTGATGCCAGGCGCAGGTTGGGTTTCCAGGCAGGTATAGGATTAAATGACAATAAAAAAAGTGGCAGCCTGGGTGACTCTGTACGACCCTTTTTGCGATTTCCAACAGACTCCAGCAAGGAGCTGGAGGAGCTGCGGTCGGCGTTCACGCGCGCTCTGGAGCACCTGCAGCAGGAGGTCGAGGAGCGTGAGTCCCGCCCGCCTCGCCCCGCCGCCTGCCCCCCTGCCCGCTGCCTGCCCCCCTGCCCGCCTGCCCTCCCTGCCCTGCCTGCCCAGCCGACAGGGTTTGCCTGGGACTCCTTTCTGATTTGCACTAATTCCATTCTTAAAGGGTTCAATGAGAGTGGAGATCCGAGCTGCGTGATCATGCAAAACTGGGCTAGGATCGAGGTAAACCTGTGGACATTTCTTGAATTTCATTCACCTCTGAAGGGTCCTTATTAATAGTGTTGTGGAATACAGTTAGAATCCCGGGGTGTTCTAGAGTCTTAAGGATTTGTGTTATTTACCTAGCATGGTGGACATTTTTTTTTTTTTTAAGCTGTCAGTGGATCTTTTATTTTATTTATTTATATGTGGTGCTGAGGTTCGAACCTAGGGCCTCACATAAGCCAGGCGAGGGCTCTCCCACTGAGCCCAAGCTCCAGCCCCACCCTGAACATTTGTTTTTTTCTTGGTGGGAACAGCCTCTGGGCTGTGTGGCTAGGTCCTCTAGGCTGCGCGAGTGCTAGGTCCCCCTCCCTTGTTGCTTCCTGCGCGGGAGTGGGCTGTGTGTGGGAGTCGCACAGAGGCTGTCTGCGCTGCTCAGGTCTTAATCCAGGCAGAAGGTGGATGATTTGGCAAAAATATGAGTGGATATAGGGAATGTTATTACCGATCCAGGGACATCAAACTGATTGAGCCATGGAGTACTCTCTGAGCGAGTCAGGCCAAAGCAGCTCACGTGTGTCGGGTAGTTTCCGTATGGGGGTCTGGCTTGTGGGTACTTTAAGGACAAGGATCCCAGGCTCAGAGAGGTTGGGCAACGTGCTCAGGCTAGGGGCCTTCGGTCAGGGGGCTTATAAACTGGTGTCTAATGCCAGGTCAGTCGTTCTGTCTGTGCATTGCTCTGAACTTGAACCCTTGCAATGAAGCTCAGTAGAAACAAAGCAAATGAGCCTCCCATGCTGTTGAGTGGGCGCTGGAGTGTGCCGCTTTGTTCACAAGAGGCCTCGGCAGGTCCTCTGAGGCTTGCCGCAGCAGAGGGCACCAGTGATTGGCCTGTTGTCACTGGTGGGAAGCCTGGAACCCGACGCTGGTAGCAGTGGGGGGCTCCTCAGGCGTGTCTGTGAGCAGGCTTTGTGACAGTGCTGATGTCGGGATGGCTGGGTCCTTTCTCACTGGGCTTGCTGCTGCCTCGCAGGCGCGACTGTGCAATAACATGCAGAAAGCTCGGGAACTCTGGGACAGCATCATGACCAAAGGAAACGCCAAGTACGCCAACATGTGGCTGGAGTACTACAACCTGGAAAGGTAACCGCCCGGGCTGGAGGGGGTGTCATGGGTGACTCCTGCTGCGTTGGCTGGCTCCTTGGGATGGCCTGTCCTTATCCCTGTCTGGCCAGTGGGCGGGGCTGGAGAAGCTAACAGCATTTTGTGGGGGACTCTTCAGGCCATGGGAACTCTTTTTTTTTTTTTTTTTTTAATTCTTTGTCCTTTTATTTGGACATGAATATTTTATTTGACTCTTGGGATCTTTTAAAAAAATTATATTTGATTTTATAAGAAAATAGCACTAAAAAGCAAAGAGAAGAAAATTCAAAGTAATTGAAAACTTGTGACTCATACTTAACCAGTGTCAGTTCATGTTTATTTTTGTGGCAGTAGGGACACAGCCCAGGACCTCGCCATACCAGACAAGCTCTCTGTCACCGAGCTACATCTCTAGCTTGTTTGTTAGGGTTTTGGGGTGTATTTTTTGAGACTTTTTGGTGCTCAAATTTCTTTAAAATGGAAATGCAGTTATAGTGTACATGATTTTCAAACCTTTAAAACTGTTGGAATTAGACGATCTGTCCAGTAATATTTATCACATGGGGAAGGGACAGAGAATGTGACCAGCTATTCTGTTCAGTATGTCTTGGATATTACATGTCATATGTATTTCTGTACTACTTTGTTCCTTTTTTGAGTGTTTTATTATTTCCCTTATTTAAAAAAGCAATTGTGCTCAAGTTGAAAAAGCACAGAGACAAAAATATATGATAGAAAAATCTTACCCTGACCCCAGAGAGCTTGTTGACTGTTTCTCTAGATTAGCGGTTCTCATGCCTTTTGGTCGCAGCACCCCCTTACTCTGTTAAAACTGGGAGGCCCCAAAGAGCTTTCGTCTGTGTGGATTATATCAATATTCATCTAATTAGAAAAACAGAAATTTAAAATATTTTTTGTTAATTCTTTAAAAATAATGTCCATTACATTTAACATAAACAACATTTCTTGGAGAAGTGATTGTTTTCCAAACTCTAAAACAGTTTAGTGAGAAAAGTGGTTCGGTCTTCTCTTTTTGCTGTCTCTTCAGTTTGCTTAGTGGAGGACAGCTGAATTTTTCTGTCTGTTTCTTCATCCGCTAAGATTATTCTCATTGGAAAGTATAAAGAGAATTTGGCCTCACACCGATGAGGTTAGGAAAGAAAGGGCTGTCTTTCAGTTAATGGTATTCTCCTTCCAGACTTGGCTGAATGCAACAAGTAATAGTTTTTTTTTTTTCCAATCAGGGATTGAACACTGGAGTGCTCAACCTCTGAGCCACACCCCCAGCCCTTTTTCATTTTATATTTTGAGACAGCCTTGCTAGGTTGCTGAGGCTTTGGATTTGTAATCCTCCTGTCTCAGCCTCTGGAGCTGCTGGGATTATAGGAGTGTGCCACCATGCCTAGTTTAAGTAATAATACTTAAGTTCTGTTTTTTTTTTTTAATTAAAGATCATAGGCTGGGAATATAGCTCAGTTGATAGAGACCTTGCATGCACAGTGTCCAGCACCACAAAATAAATAAGCAAATAAACAAATTAATGTAAATAAATATAAATATGTGAAACACAGATCTTAGTATTTATAAATAATAAAATAAATATCATTTTAATGTACAAATAATGAAATAAATATGTAGTATCTATTTATTTATTTTTTATGGTGGTGCTGGGGATTGAACCCGGGGCCTTATGCATGCGAGGCAAGGCAAGTGCTCTACCAACTGAGCTGTATCCCCAGCCAAGAAATAGGTTCTTAAATGTCATTTAGAATGTATATCTGAAACCACGTTAATGAATATTCCCTAATTAGTTACATTAATATCTATGTGTTTAGTTTGCACTTAGGTTTTTTTTTTTTTTTTTTTTTTGGTGGGGTGGTGGTGGGTGGGGAGGGTTGCTGTGGTGCCCAGGTTGCTTTCAAACTCTTGGACTCAAGTGATCCTCCTGCCTCAGCCTCAGTGCTGGGATCACAGGAACATGATGCCACGCCTGGCTTTAATTTACACTTTGAATGGACTTTTTTTTTAAAAATTGTTCTTTAGTTGTAGATGAAATCTACCTTTATTTTATGTATTTATTTGTATGTGGTGCTGAGGATCAAACCCAGCACCTCACAGGTGCTAGGCGAGCACTCTCCCGCTGAGCCCCAGCCCAGCCCTGCATGGACTTGTACCTGGTGCTGAGATTCTGGACATCGTGCCTGATGATCATGCAGCTTTCCACGTGTTGACACATTTCATTCTACAGTATAAAAACACTGTATTTGTTCACATCCTTACTGCACTTGGTAGAAAAGTCTTTTAAGTAGGAATGTTTCAGACTCACAGTGGCACATGCAGATTTTCCCAAACTCTAATTTTCACCTAGAAGCTCTGATTGTTTTTGGTTCTAGGATTGAATCCTGGGGCAATGAGCCACTGAGCCACATCCCCAGCCCTTTTTATTTAGAGTCAGGGTCTTGCTGAATGCTTAGGGCCTCGTGGCTGAGGCTGGCTTTGAATTTACGCTCCTCCTGCCTCAGCCTCGAGGTGCTGGGGTGACAGCGTGCCGAGCTGTGCCCAGCTAGCAGCTCAGATTTTATCACTGGCAACAAGTGGCATCAGTGGTTTTCTCTGGTGTGGCAGACTGACTTCATTAATTTTCGGAAGTAACATGTGAAACACAGTCTCAGTGCCCATAGCTTGTCATTCAGCTGTTCTTTCAAGTAAAAACTGTTCTGTGAAAAAAAAGTGAACAATTCAGGTCGCGACTCAAATAGTGCCACACACTTTTCTTTGCAACACTTTTCTTTCTTTCTTTTTTTTTTTCAAAGAGAGAGTAAGAGAGAGAGAGAGAGAATTTTTTAATATTTATTTTTTAGTTTTCGGCGGACGCAACATCTTTGTTTGTATGTGGTGTTGAGGATCAAACCCAGGCCGCACGCATGCCAGGCGAGCGCGCTACCGCTTGAGCCACATCCCCAGCCCTGCAACACTTTTCTTTGTCCTTCAGTGTCAGCAGAGGTGCTTTATGTGTACTTCCCAGTGTGTCTCACAGAATATTAAACAGGTGTGTCTGCCTTACTTTGTATGAAGAGCCACCATGCAAATGTCACACAGTGAACAAATCCAGTGACATTTTGGTCCTCTGACTTTGCAGACCCCCAGAGAGGGTCCTGGAGCCAAGAGATCTCCGGGTACATGGGTCGTACTTTGGGAACCACACTCTGAATTTTTTCTGAGTGTCTTAATCCATTTTCACAATATTTGTGTACATTGGTACTTTTTAAAAAACAAATGGGAACATAACTGAGGTTAAAGGCTTGTTTCGTGTGTCGCAACTGGTGGCGTCTTTCCATGTCACCACCAAATGCTCTGACTGAAGGCGTGGCGGGTGCGTCCCCCTGGTTGGACTGCATGGGATTTCTCTTGTCAAGTGACTAGACTGCTGGGCCTCTGTCCCACGTGTTGCACCTCCATGTGCTACAGAGACGGACACCCTGGCTGCTGACTGCACCCTGGGGATATTTTCCAGGGGCACTTGCAGGGCGGTCCCGAGAACGCCTCCCTGGGCGGCTGAGGGGACTGGTGGAGGCAGGAGGAAAGCGGGGTCCCCTGGGAAACTAGTGTCTGGGGAACCCACCGTGGAAGCAGCCCTCCCTTCCTGTGCACTTTGCTTTACACCCTGGTGGCAGCGACTCTCTGCTTCTTGTCCTAGGGCGCACGGCGACACGCAGCATTGCCGCAAGGCTCTGCACCGGGCCGTGCAGTGCACCAGCGACTACCCCGAGCACGTGTGTGAGGTGCTGCTCACCATGGAGAGGATGGAAGGTGCGACCTCAGTCCCGACGGGCTTGGATTCCACTCGTTTGTGGCTCTATCTCCAGTGGGAGCATCTTTATGGCTTTAAGGACCACCTGTGGCCCTGTGGCAGTGGCCATGACACGGCCTGGCAAGTGGTGCTGTGTGATTAGACTGTCGTGAGGCCTTACAGAGGGAGTAAGCCCTGGGACTCTGCTCAGTCTCCAGCTGCCAGGCTCTGTGGTGTGGCCCCAGCCCAGGGCTTCTTGTGGCGCTCTGTGCTGTCCTGTATGTTATGGGACACTTAGCCACATTCTGGCCTCTGCCTGTTAGAAGCTGTAGCAGCCCTCGCCTCAGCCAACCATGACAGTCAAACATGCCTGCCCACGCTGTCAGATGTCCCTTGGTGGAGAGCTCTGCTCTAGCGAGCACGTTGTGTGCAGTGCCAGGGTGCTCGGAGCGGCAGCAGCCCCTGAGTTCTGGCGTCACGCCCGTGTCCCTTGTGGAGATGAACAAGAGCCAGGAGGGACCAGTGAGAATTTATCTGCGGGCATTTGTCTGGTTTGGGGGTGTGAGCCTCTGTCTTGGAGATCAGACCCCCAAACAGCAACAGGAACAGCTCTGCAACATTAGGTCACTCTTAACATTGTTCAGTCTTAGTGCAAATGTCTCGTGACCTTTCATATCCGAGTATTTTCATGATCTTTGCCATAAGAGGTCAGATCCTGGCTTTCAAGTCATAAAAGGGGCAATTGGAGCATATCTGGGACGATTTGAATTCTAAACTTGAAGCCTACGTGAATTAAATTTTTTTAAAACGAGGAACTCTCCAGTTCTTGTGATTAGGGAGAGGTGGCTTCTGGAGGTGTGGGAAAATAAGACAAATGTATGTTTTTAAGTCCTTCAAAAACAGAAGGAGTAAACTTTTGCTTCTCTTCCCATCAAGGTACTTTAGAAGACTGGGACATAGCTGTTCAGAAAACTGAGACCCGGTTGGCGCGCGTGACCGAGCAGAGGGTGAAGGTAACGGTGATGCATGTCGGGGTCTCTGGAGCCCCTCGAGCTCTTGCCTGTTTGGTGTGGGTGTTTCTCTTCAAAACCTTTAGGCCTTCATAAGAGATGCACGTGAGCCATAGGCCTGTGAGGTATAAGATACTGAATCAGTATTTCAACTTGTATCTTTTTACATTCACTGAACACTTTGGCTTTAACAATGTGCTGGGGGAATTTTGGCCCCCAAATTCATTGGAATAGATGGGAAAGAATGGGAAGGAGCCTCTGTTGGCCTTGCTAGGGGCCCTGGTCCTGTGGACCGATTTCTCCTTCCTCTTGGGGACAGGCTGAGGGCGCTGTGAGCATGGGCTTGAGGTCCAGACCCTGTGGCCTTGGGCGCCGGCGGTGGGGCCGCTGGCAGTGCCTGCCCACCCGTCTGCCCTTCCCCTTCCCTGTCTCATCCTCTCACAAGCCGAGGCAAGGCAAGTGCTCTACCAACTGAGCTATATCCCCAGCCAAGAAATAGGTTCTTAAATATTCTTTAAAAATAATGTCCATTACATTTAACGTAAACAACATTGCCCCTTGCCCTTCCAGGCTGCAGAGAAGGAGGCGGCTCTGGCGCAGCAGGAAGAGGAGAAGGCGGAGCAGCGCAAGAGGGTGCGAGCGGAGAAGAAAGCCTTGAGAAAGAAGCAGCAGCCAGGCGGCGGGGACAAGCGCAAGGCCGAGGAGGGCAAGGAGTGGGGCGAGGATGGCGCAGGTAGAGGGCTGCTCAGAGGCTTTACCTTGACACCCCCACACCTCCAGAGAATTCGCAAAAAGGGTACAAAGACTTTCTCCTCGGCCCACTTGAGGCCGTGTGTCCGCACACTGCCCGCCGCCCGTGGACTTCTCAGAGCGTGTCCCGCAAACCTGGCCGCCGTCGGGGCCCGGCTGGGTGTGGTGCTGCCCGCCTGTAATCCCAGCGACTGGGGAGGCCGAGGCAGGGGGCGCAGATTCCAGGCCTTTCTTAGAATAGAAAGCAAAAAGAGCTGAGGCGTGACTTAGTGGTTAAGCACCCCTGGGCTCAGTCCCTGGTACCCCAACCCCCAAAACCAAGAGCCAGGAGCAGCTCACCTCCATTCCTGCCTATGGATCCTCAGACCCCCCAGTGCCTGCCTTTGGTGCTGCTGGTGTCCTTTCAAGTAGGAGGATCTAGTTTTGTGTTGAGCTGTCCCGTGTCTCGAGTCTCCTCCAGTCTGGAATGTCCCTTTGGCTCCCTTGACCAGGACATTTGAAGAAGTCAGGCCAGTTTCTTGGAGAAGATTCCTCCGTGTGGGTTTCCTGATGGCCCTCATGCCCAGTCAGGTCACGCCTCTTCGGCAGGAATAGTACCTTCCTGGTGAATCCCTTCGGGTGGCATGTGATTTGGGTCACCTTGGTGATGTGACTGAGGTGGCGCCTGCTGGCTTGCTCTTTTCTCCTGACGGGCCTCTGCCTCACTGAGAGGAGATAAGATCCGGTTCCTCTTCACTTCTGAGTCCTCCTCCGTGTCACAGGGATCATGGACCCCGGTTTTCCTTGGTTACAGTCTGTTAGTGTGGTCATTTATGTTGAAGCTCTTGTCCCAGTTTGGCTCCAGGAGCTCCTGCGAGCGGGCCTCCGTGTCCTTGGACCTGCTCTTGCGGTCTCACCCCGTGTGTCCTTTCATGCAGTGCATCCCCTTGTGGCCCAGCCTAGGGTCCCTGTTCTCCAGGGACACTGCGTGGCACTTGGCAGGTGCCAGATGTCCTCACTGCTGTTGGGGATTGTGCTCCCAGGCCTCTGAGTGCTCGTGCTGGGGACATCTGTTTGCGTGGAACTTGTGTAAACGCGGGTCCTGGGAACCCCGAGTCTACACCACAGGGTCCCTTCTGGTTTTCTGCCGTTGAGAAACCTGCTCCTGTCACCCTCAGCATGCTCACCTGCGCTGTCTATCCCCTGGCTGTGTGTCCGGCTCCTGGCCTGCTGCTCCCCTCGCCTCTGGGCCTCCCGTGCCCACTCTGGGTGCTGCCCTCCACAGCCGGTGTGCCCGGCACTTGGGCTTCATGTCCTGTCAGGCCATTGCCCAGGGCCCTCCTGCCTGGGTGTCTTCCTCTCCCTCCCACCCTGACTGCTTTATCCCAAGCTGGGCCCCTGTCACCAACCCATGTACCCAAGTCCCCCTCCCACTGGGCTCCAGTGCCAGCACCAGCACTGTGCCCCACAGGCGCCTCCTCGCCCAGCCCCCAGTGGTGTTGAGGCTGGGCTCCCAGCTGGTCTTTCCCGGCAGGTGAGGTCTGAACTGATCCAGGGCAGTCCTGTCACAGTGAGGAATCGTCTTGGGACATTAGGGCCTCTGAGTGTTTCCCTAGCGTAGCTGTGGCCACGGAGGTGCAGACGCAGCCTCCATTCCGTTGGCCTTTCTTGCACACCTCTTTGGGCCTTCAGAAGTGACTGACTGTGGCCACTGCCCTCAGAGCCCCCAAGTTACAGGGTATGGTGGGTGGACTTGGGAGCAGTCAGGACTGTGGGGAGGTTGAGATCCGGGCGGAGGCCAGAGGCGCCAGGCTTAGTTCCGTGCCAGGAGGCTTCGTGGGAGAAGGGATGCGGCTTCTGGGCCAGGACAGGGAGGAGGGGCCCCCGGCAGAGAGCTGCGAGGGAACATGGCTGCACAGACAGCTCTGCTCTGACAGCGCAGGATTGGGTGTGATCCCAGATGCTGGCAGAGGGGCCGAGGCAGTGGTGGGGACAGGCCAGCCATGCAGCTGGGTGAGCTGTTGAATGCAGCTCGAGGGCCTGGGTGCCATCGGGGAGCAGCGGTGGGACCGATGGGAGAGCTGCTGGAGGCGAGGCCTGCTGGCCCTCTGCAGGGCCGTGGGGAGGGTCTGTTGCAGGACGCGAGGCAGCGCCCAGAGTGTCGTGGGAAGAAGGCCCGCGGCTGTGCTTTCCAGGTGTCTCTGTGGCGCCTGCATGTCCTTTACCCGGTGTGGTTTCTGTGTGGCTTTCAGGTCTGCCCTTGTGCTGCCCGGGCTCTGTGGGAGGGTAGAGGGATCCTGCTGACCCGAGGCGGGCCTCTGGCCACCCCTGCAATTAAGAGTGTACATGGGGATTTGTCATTACTTCCCCGTGATGTGGCCCACGCACTGCATTGTAATGGGGGCTCAGAAAATTGCGGGGCGGGTCAGCAGGGTCGTGGAAGACCTCAGGGGCCTGCCACCCTGGTGTCTGCTGCAGACTCCTGTCCATGGCGGGAGAGGGGTCCCCACACTGCGTGCTGAAGGCGGGCAGCCGACAGCCAACCATCGCCGCTTGTCTTTTGCACACCTGCAGAGCAGCCTTCCAAGCGAAGGAGGGTGGAGAACAGCGTGGCCCCGGCCGGGCCAGAGCCAGACGCAGGCCAGGAGAAGGGGCTCCCCGAGAAGCCTGCTCCCGTGGACGTTGCCCCCCCCTCCAAGCAGAAGGAGAAGGCCGCTGCCCTGAGGCGGGAGGTGCCCAAGGTGCTGCATGACAGCAGCAAGGACAGCGTCACCGTCTTCGTCAGCAACCTGCCCTACAGCATGGGGGAGCCCGCTGCCAAGCTCCGGCCACTCTTCGAGGCCTGCGGGGAGGTGGTGGAGATCCGGCCCGTGTTCAGCAACCGCGGGGACTTTCGAGGCTACTGCTATGTGGAGTTCAAAGAAGAGCAGTCTGCCCTGAAGGCCCTGGAGCTGGACCGGAAGAACATGGAAGGGAGGCCGATGTTCGTGTCCCCCTGTGTGGATAAGAGCAAGAACCCCGATTTCAAGGTCTGTTATGGAGGGTTGCGCTCTGCATGCTCCCCCGTGCTCGGGTTCCACACGCCGCTGCGCAGGGAGCTGGTCTGTGTGGGCACCGACGCAGGGCCCGGTGTCCTGAGTTGGACCAGCTGACTAGGTGGTGGTGACGATAGGTGCTGAGTGGCAGGAGACCGTGCTGCTGTGGCTGCCCACCTGTCCTCTGCAAATGGCTGCTCTTATTCTTGCCATTTTTTTGAGGAAAAATTGAGGCCTGAAGTGACTTGCCAGGCGACTGTGTTACTAGGTTCCAATCCCAGGTCCGGCTCTGGGCTGCCTGGCGGGGGGTGACCGAGTCCGCACTACCTGGCCTGACGGGGGTCCTCCCTTCCCGCCCTCCCCCAGGTGTTCCGGTACAGTACCGCCCTGGAGAAACACAAGCTCTTCATCTCCGGCCTGCCCTTCTCCTGCACTAAAGAGGAACTGGAGGACATCTGTAAGGCCCATGGCACTGTGAAGGACCTCAGGCTGGTCACCAACCGGGCTGGCAAACCAAAGGTCTGTGTTGGCGCAGATGGCGCCTGGCCTTCTGAGCTGACGGGCTCCTGGCTTGTCTCCTAAGACAGGGTGGTGACATGATGGGAGGAGGAGCTCGCTTGGCTGCTTCCATGTGGATCGGACTAACTTTAAGTAACAAATGTACCAAAAATGAAAAAGGCATTTGGAAAGTAAGTTTTAGCCTTCATAGAAGCCACAGTGTGGCCCCTGGCTGCAGTGTCACCTCCCCACTCTTCTCCTTCCCGGGCCTCCAGCCAGTGCCCGTAGTCCCTCCATTGGTCTGCTCTTCCCCCCTCCCTCCTGCCCCTCCACATCCTGTTAATTCCTCTTGCACCATGTGCGTGTGTGTACGCACACCTACATGTATATACAGGCATATGTGTGTATATGTGCATATTTTTTTTAATGATACATGTGTTTTTTCACACAATACCTTTATTTTTTAATTTATTTTTATGTGGTGCTGAGGATGGAACCCAGTGCCTCACCTGTGCTAGGCAAGCGCTCTCCCTCTGAGCCCCAGCCCCAGCCCACGGGTGTGTTTCTTTGAGACGGGGTCTTGGTGTGTCATCTAGGCTGGTCTCCAATTATTGTGCTCGAGTGATCCTCCTGCCTCAGCCTCTCAAGTGGCTAGGGCCTCAGGCGTGTGCCCCTGCCCTTGGCCCTTTTGCACCACATTTCAAGTAGTTTTTTTTTTTTTTTAATATATTTTTTAGTTGTAGTTGGACATAATACCTTTATTTTGTCTGTTTATTTTTATGTGGTGCTGAGGATTGAACCCAGAGCCTCGCACGCGCTGAGCCACAATCCCAGCCTCTCAAGTTGTGTTTTTAAGCATGATTTTGGATTTCTTTTCAAACCTCACCCCCAGTCAGGTTGAGAACTGAAGACACTGAAGGGACTGAAGAGGACCCCCGCCCCCTCTGGTTGTCCTCGGGGTCTCGCCCGTCTCTTTTTCTTCTGAGCAAGCCCAGGGTGTGCCGATCCCAGAAAGGTTTCTCTGATGTGAAAATCAGAAGGGCCGTAGAGAAGCCAAGTGGGGCCTGGAGTGAACTGTGGACAGCGGGTGTCAGCAGTGGGGAGGGGACCAGCTGATGGGCTGTCTGCTGCTTTCCCGAGGACGCCAGGTTCCCTGGCCCTGGGATGACGTTGCGTCCTGGGTCTGCGCGCCTGACGGCCCTGGTCTCTTCCCCCCCAGGGTCTGGCCTACGTGGAGTATGAAAATGAGTCCCAGGCTTCGCAGGCTGTGATGAAGATGGACGGCATGACAGTCAAAGAGAATGTCATCAAAGTGGCCATCAGTAACCCCCCTCAGAGGAAAGTTCCAGAGAAGCCAGAGGCCAGGAGAGCACCAGGTGGCCCCATGGTGCCAAGGCAGATATATGGAGCGTAAGTGTTCCGTGCCAGTCTGGTGGGGCTTGTGCTGGCAGCATGCGGCAGGGGGCCTCCAGGGCTGGGAGGTCTGGGGAGTCAGGACGGGAGGCCAGGCCCCGCTGCTCCTCCAGTGATCCTGGGGTTTTTCGGCTGGAGCATGGGCTCCCTGCGTGTCCCAGAGGGCGTGGGCCTGGGAGGCAGACCTGCTGCTGTTTGCCAGTTTACACATGTCGTTCATTCTGAAGTGAAAAGCGCTGAGGCAGGAGTTATTTTGAAGTCCCCTTTGCTGATTAACCTGAAGATAAAACCCGATGACTGTCCTGCTTGCCGTTCCTGGGTTGTAGCTGTCATCTCCACACGAGCTGGGCTTTTCTCTTCTCCTCGTGGGGCTGACAGGATGGCATGGTCACACAGTAGCGTCCAAGAGATGGCAGCCTTGTTTTTTTTTTTTTTTTAATAAACAAAAAGGAGAACAACTTTATTTGACAAAAGACAAAGTTATTTATGGTAGTTTTTTGCTCAGATAATGCAGTGGACAGCTGTGCTTTATCCTCCAGGTTTGTCTCAACCAAACCCAAGCAGAGGCTGCCCCAGCTCCTGGCCTGTCTTTTGGCTCAGTAACAATGTTATTCAGAACAAAAACATTTTGGCTAATAAAAATCTAGGGTGAGCGTTTGTTAAGTTACATAAAGATGGGGTGGGGCACTGTCAGCAATGACACAGCAAAATAGAGGGGGCGTGGAGGACCGAGTGATGTTTCACTGGGGGACTCAGCAGGGCCTTGCAGCTCCAGGTGCAGCAGAGACGCCGCCTGGCTTCCGGCCACCTCCAGCCCCACGGCAGGGAATCCCCTGCCTCCTCCTACTCCTGGAACCTGCCTGTTCTAGGGCTACCTGTCCAGCAGATGGCCCGCTGCTCCCCCAGTGTGGATGCCGTGAGCTTCTGACAGTCCCATCTCAAGTTCCTAAAGGAACTCAGGCTACATGGCAAGACTTCGAGAAAAAATGGGGAGAAAAAAAGGGGAAAATATTAAAACCAGAAGCCCATTGATCCAGCCCGGCTGATCCACCCCACCCCAGAACACAGTCAAACGGAAATCTCTGGCTGTCACCCTTCCCTGCTCTTGGTCTAGGTTGAGTCGGTTCTGCTGGACTCCCCCTTGGCTGTGGCCATGCCCTTCTGTGCCCGATACAGAAGAGCCAATGAGATGGCGGCAATTCTTCCCACCAGTGTGTCGCACCCGGCTGGTCTCCGCCTGAATTGTGAACAGGCAGAGTCTGTCGAGTGCATTTCCTTTGCTAGCCAGGATACAAGGCTCATCTTATCAGCCTTGTTTTTATATTTCATCTCTTAATTTTGGCTAGTTTAGACAGCTCTTTTTTTAATTAAATTTGTGTTTTGCGGTAGTGGGGCTGGAACCTGGGAGGCGGATACTAGAAGCCACTCCATCCCTGTCCTTAACATGGGGTGCTTGGGGCTCCCCTGGCTTGTTTCATGATTCAGTCTGGAGCCACGAGCCCTTGTTCAGGGTGTGTTCTGTGTCTGTCCTTGCAGGCGGGGGAAGGGAAGGACCCAGCTTGCTCTGCTGCCGCGTGCCCTGCAACGCCCGGGTGCTGCTGCCGGTCAGGCCGAGAACGGCCCTGCCCCGCGCCCAGCAGTCCCCACCTCTGAGGCCGCTGAGGCGCCCAAGATGTCCAATGCTGATTTTGCCAAGCTGCTTCTGAGAAAGTGAAAGCGACGCTGTGAAGGACAGGAAATGCCTTACTTCCCGCTGGTCAGGCAGCCCACCCAGCACCCAGCAGCGCCTGGGCCAAGGAGGGGCTGTGCACACCCCTGCGCCCCTGGACTCCGCGGGGTTCAGTCGGGGCAGTGTCCAGGGGAAGAGGCGCCCAGTGCTCCCTCACATTGAGGGCAGTGGAGCAGGGCACGGCCCGCAGGGTACCTGTCCCTACGGACTTTTGTGTCCTGAAGAATGAGGAGCAGAAGTGACACTGGAACATGGCTCTTGAGTCCCACTTGTCCCAATGCTCCAGGCCACCTCTGGCCCTTTTTGTAAGACATTTCTCTCCCATCCTGCACAGCACACGTGCCCGTCACTTTTAATTTTTAAAAGATGAGAAACGGCAGATGCTGGCGACTCACCAGAACAGCCTATTTTAGTAAGGGGCGGGGGCGGGGGTCCCACACCCAGCACTTGGTGGGCTTTTGTTCACAGGGGTTGTTTTTTTCTATTATGTATTTGTAAACCACACGTCGACTGTTGTTTTATGTTTCCTAAAAGCAAAATATTTGCGACGTGTTTTCTATAGGAATCCCGCGTGGACCGTTTTCTTTGCTAGTGACTAGTCATTCTGGGTCTAGAGATTGGGGTTCAGCCCTTGGGTTTTGTTTAAATACTTTAGTTCTCCCAGTTAGCTTTGTTGATTAAACGGAGTTCTCTTGAGTCACCTTGCCGTGGTCCTCAGCTGTGCATCACAGACGGGCGTTTGGTCACGGGTCGCAGGTGTAAATAGGAGTTTTCTAACTCAGACCTCCCGGGACTTTCCTCCAGCAGCGATGCGTCTTCAGTCTTGGACTGGAGTTCATGGCGGTTTGACACTTGGCGTTTTTACCTCTCACCTCACCAGACACCTAGCAAGTGGCCTGAAAGCAGCCTGGCCACGCTGGGGGACCTGCCCTGACCCAGGCCCCCGGGAGCACGGTGGGGGCCCTTCCATGCAGTGGAGACCAGCTCCTCATCTGTTTGTTTTGTGAAGCTGTTTCTGTGCGTCAGCCAGGCTTTCCTGCGTTTTTTGTAACTTTACATTTTTTTTTTAATATCTTTATTTTATTTATGTGGTGCTGAGGATCGAACCCGGTGCCTCACGCATGCTAGGCGAGCACCATACCTCCGAGCCACAACCCCAGCCCCGTAACTTGACATTTTTTAACAGGAAGTTTTGAACAGGCAGAACCATGAAACGTAGATAGTCCTGCTTGCCTGTCTCCGAGTGCCAGCTCTCCTGCGCCCGGTAGGGCCCTCGCCGCACTGTCCCTTCCACCTCCTGCTGTTACCTTGAAGCCTGCCCAGATAGCAGCTCGTGAGTCTAACCTGAGAGAGAAGGACCTAAGGGCCAGTTGGTTTTCACCCTGAGAAACGTTAGCAGTGATACCTTAGGGTCACCGGTGACCCAGAGTGTCTAGTCAGTGTCCGTGTCTCCTTGTAAATGATCGCTGGTTGTTCACGTCTTAGGACCTTTGAGATGCAGAGTCCCCTTTGGTCTTTCTCTTTACACAAAACAAACTCCCTTTTCTTGGCATTACCTCTGGAAGCAGCTCAGGCAGCCGCTGTTGGCAGTAGGAGCCTCACATGGCCCTGGTGCCTCCTGGGTCTGTCCCTTTTCTGGTCGCTGTGAGGCCTGCTGGTGGCTAGGTGATTGGGGGCTCCGAGGGAACCTGTGCCTGCCTGAGCGTCCTCCCCACTGCAGGGCCTAGGGGCCCACCTCTGGCTGTGTCCCAGGCCCTGCTCTGATCCCTGCTGTTGGCCGGAGTCTGACCTCACTTCCGCTGTCCACGTGGGCTTGTGATGGAGGAGCCTCTGGACACTCAGCAGGACCCTGGAGAAGCTGGCTGCCGGCTGCTGTAGCATGGGTTTCTGAGAATGTGAGGGGGATTTTGTGATTTCCTCCGAAATCCAGAACTGGTGGTAAAGACAAACACGAAAAATCATTTTGAATCAGTTAAAAAAAAATCAATATTTCCTGCCCATTAGCTGGGAAGGCAGTTCATGCAACCAGCTCTGTCCTGCCTCCTGACACCGCCATCCTAGGTCTGCTGTCCCAGGATGATGTAAGGGCAGGGTGGCCATTCACAGCGCCCTCTCCTTCTGATCACTGGAAATACCCTTTGAGTAAGGCGGCAGAGTCTGACCTTTATGTAATAAAATACTTTATTAGAATCAGTAATTTGTTAAAATAACATCCTTCACATGTAGCTAAAGTGCAAATTCTAAAGGACAAAGCACGCACTCCTGCCACGCTTCCTTGTCACCAGTTACAAACCAAGACAGCAGAAGACACCACCTGGGCGCGTGGGCAGAAGGACCACTGCATACGCGTTTCCACTTATTTTTCTGAACCTTCCAGAAAACCACTCTGTGCCATTTGTGAATGACTATAGACATTTGCTGCTGTCTGAGCAGTGACCGCATGGCTGTCAGGAACTCAATCCTAAAAGCAAAGGTAGGACAGCACGATGTGATTCTCGACCGTGACAAAGTGCAGTGCAGCGTCACGCTGCAGGCTGTCCCTGGGCAAGGACGCTAGTGATTTTTGGCCATTCTGACACTAACTAGCAGCAGTCCAATTGGAACTTGTGCCACCTGTGATTGGAAGAGAAGATTCTATTTCTGTGAGATGACAGCTTGGAAGCCTGGCCACATTATTTATGACACTGTGTCATTTTGCAGGTTGCTAGAAAAATACAGCCACTCGGAGGCAACCTTTCCCGCTTCTTCGATGGGAGGCTGGACAGCAGAGGGGCTATGTGAGGTGAGGCCAGGGCTGTGAGGGCGCAAAACCACCCCACAGGGACCCTCCTGGCTGTGGCAGGGCTCTAGCTCAGTATCAGAAATGCTTAATGGGCTGATGGGGCATCTTTCTTGGAAATGCCCTAAAATCAACAGGGAGCTTGCAGGGGGAGGAAGGACTGGCCTCCTGAGCAGCCGGCTGCAGGGGGTGGCCGACCCAGGGACGCTGAGCCCCAGAGAAAGCTCTGGGCCCCGCTGCTGTGAGTGGAGTGCAAGGAGAAGCTGATGCACTAAGAAGCCAGGCTGGCCGCCCTCCCCTCCTGAACTAGAAAAATAGTCTCCGTATGAAAAACAGCTTCTGGCACTCAAGTCTGCAAATTAACGGTGCTCAAAGAGCCTTCCCGGAGACGAGCAAGGAGTTCCACTAGAAATGTCACATTCATTTCCTACCTCAAATGGTGGCGCTCCTGGGGAAAGCCACCACGCTCGTCTCTTGGGAGGGGAGCCAAACCCCAAGAAGATGCTCTCTCTCCCAAGAACTGGGATGGCTTCTCCCTGGGACTTCTGACTCCCCTTAGAGCCACACACTGCTCACAGCCAGTTTCAGAGAAAGACTTGGCCTCTCTCCCTGGCCTTAGTGCAAATTCTGCTCCAAAACCCGGGTTCTGGTCACACAGGAGCATCAGTGCTCCTGCGGTGGGGGGACCACCGCTCAGAGCAGCCACCAGCAGAGCCACAGTGGACACCACCCACGACTGGCTTGCTCAAAAGAAGAAAATAAATAACTTGAATTATAAATTATCTTAAAGAGACTAAAGCTTAATAATTTAGTTTTTTTTTTTTAACCAGGAAAAAAAAAAAGAGGTAAAGACTTCAAAGGTCTGTTCTGCTTCTGGAGATGCGAGGTTTCTAGAAATGCTCTTTGATCCCTTCCCTACCTTCCCTCGTCACCGGGGCTAGGGCTTCACGGGAAGGGTCTCCTTGAACCCAGAATGGTTGGGGTTGGCTTCCGGCAGCGCCACCGAGTAGTCGGTGGTGGCGAAGAGCAGGGTGTCCAGGGTGGTCTCGGTGCACTTGGCGATGAAGCGGATGAAGGGCCGCACGTCGCCCTCGTTGGCGGCCTCCAGCACGTGGTAGTACTCGGCCCGCTGCTCCTTGAGGATGGTGACAGGCGGGTAGCCGGCCTGCATGAGGATGAGGTTCATGAGCAGGCGCGACGTCCTCCCGTTGCCATCGATGAAGGGGTGGATGTAGACGAGTTTGTAGTGGGCCAGGGCGGCGAATTCCACGGGGTGCAGGTGCGTGGCGTCCTCCGAGTTGAGCCACTGGATGAACTCGTGCATCTGCTTCTCCACGTCCTGGGGATGCGGGGGTATGTGGTGTCCCACCAGGACCTGGGTCGTCCGGAACCTGCCGGCCTCCACGGGGTCCACGTAGCCCAGCACCCGCCTGTGGATCTCCAGCACGTCGCTGGTGGTCACGGAGCCGATGCGGGACAGCAGGGTGGCGTTGATGTACTTCATGGCGGCGTGCATGCCGATGACCTCGTTCTGCTCCTCCAGGCTCTTGCCCGGCACGGCGTAGCGGGTCTCCAGGATGTGCCGGATCTCCGAGAGCGTCAGGGTATTGCCCTCGATGGCCACCGTGTGGTAGATGTGGTGGTAGTAGGTCTCCTCCATGACCCTGCGCAGCGCCGAGTTGCCCTTGGGGATGGACATGACCTTCTTGACCTTGCTGTCGATGATGCTGAAGTACCGCTGGTCAATCTCCTCCACCAGCGGCAGCGTCCGGTCCCGGTTAACGAGCGCCTTCTCGTGGAAGGGCGAGATGGTCAGCGCCCTGGTGAACAGGTAGTCGGCGCGGATGATGTCCTTGTCTTCTTCCGAGAAGATGCCGAACTCGGTGAGCGCGTCCGCGAAGTCTGGGTCCATCTTGAGGGCATGCAGGAAGAGCTTGTGCGCCTTGTCCCGCTTGCCCTGGCGCTTCATCTCCAGGGCCTGGTTCAGGGCCGCTCTGGCCTCCATCTTACCTGCTTGAGAGAGCCGAAGCCCGTCCCCGTCAGGTCTGTCACCGCGCCCCGCGCCCCTGCTGTCCCCAGCCCTATGGGGTGGGGGCTGTCATCCCTGCTGCCGCAGGTCTGCACCCGGGAGGCACAGGCTGGGCCCCCTAGCCCTCCCAGGTCTGCTGCTGCCATGGCCAGTGGCTTCCCCTCCAGCCACGACTCCGGACAGGGGGACTCCTGCCCCTTCCGCAGCTCAGCCATCTCTGAGGCTGGTCCTGGCCTCCGTCCCTCAGGCCTGGGGCATCAGTGGCTCCCATTCCCACTAGACCCTGTGGCCTTGGCCATCTTTTATCCCACAGGTTCGATCATACTCCCCTGGGGGACATCTGGCAATGTTTGGATGCATGTCTGGCTGTCACAGCTGGGGCACCTGGTGGCAGAGGCAGGCTCGCTGCTCCACCTTGGTGCATGAGGGACCCTGGTGGAGGCGCAGAGCCCCACTCTGGACCTGGCCCTCCTTTCCCAGCCCCGTCCTGGTGACAGGTGTCAGCCATAGGTACTCCACTTCTCTGGGTCCCTCCGTGTCCCCGGGCTCTCTTCCCCTGTGGTCTCTGCCGCTCATCTCTTCTCCTTGGACCACACCTGCTTAGCGTCAGCTCAGGACTGGGCTCAGGCACTCCCTCCCCCAGGGAGCCTTCCTGTGTGCTTCCCGGTCACCACCCCTGTGACACGGTCTCGGTCACCCATCAGCTTGCCTAGGCTGGCGCTCAAGACTGACCTGCTCACCCCCACCCCGCGCACTGCATGGGGTGAAGCAGGTGTTCTAGAAATAACTCTTGGATGAACAAGCACTGTGAAGAGGCTGCCTATCTGTCTTACCTGGAGACGCCTTGGTCTTGACCACCAGCAGCTCTGCGTCCTGGGAGGTGACACTGAGCTCTGTGGATGGGCTGGTGCACTTGGTGACAGCATGCTGTGCCCTGTCCAGTTTGCTCCTGAGCAGGTAGAAGCCTTTAAGCACAGCTAAGCACTGTTCTTCTACGGTCCCCAGTGGCAGCAGCAGGGCCAGCAGTGACCCCAGTGCCATGCTCAGCAATGTCACCCATAGGAAACGGCCCCAGACTGGGACCCATTTCGGTTCAGTCACCGCCATCACTGTAGCCATTGGCATGAGCGTCATCTGGACTTGGGGGTTGGCTCCATGCACGTGTCAACAGTTGGTGGAGAGAGAGCAGGATCTGTGAGCAACCAAGAATTGCAGGAGATGAGGCAGGGGAGTGGATATGTCCCAGACACTGTGTGACCCTGGATGGGGCGACAGGCTTGGTGACTCCCTGCACCTTCAAGTTCAGAAGGGACCAGGAGTGGGGTAAGGCAGGTGGATCTCTGAGGGGGAGGGCCCAGGCTGGGAGGACTGGTGCCCGCTTTCAGGGCAGTATGACAGGCAAGCCATCCTGCTATTGCTGCCCATTGTTTATTGAGCATTTACTATATGCCAGGATTAGCACCTGACACATATTATCTCCTGCAATTTTCATCAGCAAGCCGAGGAACTGATGTCTGTCTCCCACTGTAGGGAGGTGAAGTGAAAAGCTGACAGCCCTATGACTTCAATTCAGGAACCTCCCAGATCTAAGGGACCCCCTTTCATCACAAATCTCTGTGGCCTCTGAACACCCAGTGTTGGAGACACACACACACACACACACACACACACACACCCACACACCCACAGACTGGCCATGGCAGTTCTGAGGTCCATTCTTTGATGAGCATAACTGATTAGTGGCCTAATTTAATGCCATATGTGTGTCTGCTTCCTCCTACCAGCACCCTGATATTCAGCCACAGAGCCCACAATGCTGTCCCCCTCTCTGGCCTTCCTTTTCTGTCCTGCAGGGATCCCACCAAATGATTGGGCAGAGGAACATCTCAAGGGGAACCAAGGTCCTGGGCCAGAGTGGGTGACTACTACACTTCAGTGACAGTGGCTGGTAGTGGGAGTAAAAGGGCCAGGCACGCAAACTAACAATAAGCATTTATTTGACAACTATGGTGTGCTGGGGACTGAGCTAGATGCTACACAGCAGTATCTCATTTAATCCTCAAACCACCCTATAAAGGAAGAGCTAGCTACCTATAGCTCCATTTTACAGATGAAAGAAACCAAGGCACAGATAGGGCAAGTTGAGTTCCTGAAAGTCCACAGGGCCTTTCACCTTCAGTTATTACTAACAGGGGCTTGTGCTCTGCTCTGGGGTGCCCGGGCGCGGACAGGCTTGACTGATCCCGGGACTGAGGGGGACACCCTGCTCGTGGCCACTGACATCTGAAACGGCTTGGTGTGCTGTGCGGGTACCGGTGGTCTGGGTGGCCTTCCCACCACTAAGGACAGGCTCCTCGACCCAGCAGTAAAGGCAAATTAGAGGTCGCCGGTACCAGGGGTGTGTGCGACAAGGAGCTGCGTTGAGGGGGGCACAATCTCTCGGCGCCCACTTCCCCAGAAGCGGGAAACTGAGACCCGGAGAGATAAAGGGACCGCTGTAGGGTCACTCTGCAGACTCGGCCCTTTGAGAACCCCGCCCAGAGCTCGCGGCCCTGACGCACCCTCAGAGCCCCTCGGGCATGCCCCCTCCTCACCGCGCGAGGTGGCTGGGCCTTCCAGCCACCTTCCCGGCGCTCGCAGACTCGGCGGCTGCTGTTTCCCGAGACATCCTTCGCCGCCGGCCCTTGGCCCCGCCCTCTGAAGCTCGCCATTGGACGACCCGCCGCCCTCATCGCGACGGATTGGCTTTCTTCACTTGTCCGTCCCTCGCATTTCCGGGTTTCCGCATCGGCGTCTGCTTCCCTGATAAAGGCGCGCCGTGGGCCACTCCCATTGGCTGGCCCTTGTATTGGTCTCGTGCCGGCAACGGCCAATAAGCAGCGGAGGGGGCGGAGCCTAAGTCGCTGGCGGGAGGAGCGGGCGCTGCTGAGAAGTGACTGCGGATGGGTTTTTGGGGCGCCCTGCGTGTGAGGTCCACAAACTCGCGTCTGCCTCCGCTGAGAACCGCTGCCCTTCGCCCCGGTCTCCTCGTCCCGGGGCCGCCCTCGGGTGGGTGTTCCTTCGGGTGTGAGTGAGGCTCGCCTCTCTGTTAGTCTTGACTTCGTGGCCCGTTTTAGCCCCCCTCCGGGCTGCGCCTTCTGTCCCTTTCTCTCCCTGTCTGTGACTCTTCCTTCTTGACTTTAATATGCATCGTCATGAGAACGGCCTGGCTGTTCTTTGGCTTCCAGGGAGATGGATTTTCCCCTGAAGCAGAGATCGGAAAACTCCGTCTTAACCCACAGTGAGAACCGAACATCTAGGGACGCGCCCCAGAAACGCTTGACTTACTGAGATGTCTGGAGTCAGCTCAGATCCAGACTCTGCTATTTACTCTGTGACCGTGAGCAGGTTACTTTCAACCTCAATTTCCCCATCTGTAAAATGGGACAAACTTTACCCACTTTACTTTTTGCCCACCATTGTGGGATTTGCAGGAGAATTGATGCTTTAAGATCCGATCCCCCAGTGACACAGATTCCCCTTGGAGGCACCTTTGGTGCCACACAGCCCAGGGTTCACATCCCAGCTCTGTTGCTTGCAAACTGGGTTACACTCAGCAAATGGTTTGACCTCGCTGATCCCCTGTTTGCTTTCCTGTAAACTGGGGACAAGGTGATGACAGTACCTCTTCTAGGATTTTGTTTGAGATTCTGTGCATCTGGCACTGAGCAAATGCTTGGCAAATGTCAGCACTGGTAATTATTCCTAGGAAAAACACCAGATCCTTGCTGCTGCTTACCCAAAGAAGAAGGTGCTAGAGCTGCAGGATGTTCCAGGCACAGGAGGAGACTGTGCACCTGTGTAGGCTTCATCCCGATCCTAGTTTAGGAAAGCTGCTGACCCACAGCACAAAACAAAGTGTCTAGGCCCATGCCAGCCTGGGGGAACATTGTGAAGTGAGGGGCCAAAAGGCTTCCACCATTCCTGTTGGACTCCCTCTTTATGTCGTGCCCCTGGCCCCCATTTTCTGTAGTTCCCAGCCCTCAAGATGGAGGATGGCACTTAGTAGATACTCAAGAAATGTTCCCTTGGAATTTGAAGGATGTGGGGCAAACGATAGAGTTATTAAGAAACAAAATCAGAATGGTGGTTATTTTGGTGACTTCTTATTTTTAATTTTTCGAACATGGGTTTTGAATATTGTTTTCTCAGAGTTCTCCGAATTTCACTTCTGATATAGCCCAAGTAGTAATATCACTGGAAAAACCTTCCCCATAGGAGGGTCTGCTGTATAACTAGCCAATGGGAGACAGTGTAGTGGAAGACAAGGAGGCTCTGGAGCCAGACAGGTGTCTGTCCAAGTGCAAGGCTTACCACTTTGAGCAAGTCACCCTCACAGAGCCAGGTATTATAGGGCCGTGAAGCTCTGCATGTACATCAGGCATAAAGAGTTATAATTACCACCTTCAAAGACACCCTCCTTTCTCCACTCCTTGGGGTGCCAGGGTAACTTCTTTGATGAGCTGAGCCAGTGGCAGCAAACCCAGAAGCTCTGCAGGAACTGGTAAGGAGTAGGACTGCCTGGTGAGTGCGGGTGAGTGCAGTGAGTCTGAGAGCACACGCTTTATGAAAAGTGGGCAGCAGCTTCTCAGTTGTAGCCCACAGTTTACCACATTTATTATTTTGAGCTGTGATCCAGCAATTGATAGATTTTCCAGTTTCTTACAAGAAATGTCAGTTATAGATTCTTGAACAAATCTCCAGATTTTTAAAAAGTGGGCGTGTCTTCCTGCTGGCTATAGGGGGCTGCCAGATTGCAACCCATGTTGTGGGCTGTTAGGATGGGCTGGAGGAGGTGGCAGGGAGGGACATAGGAAGAAACCCCACAAGCGACCATCTCAGCTGTGGACACCAGGGGGCAGTAGCTCACCTGTTAGCGCTGCTTTTATTCAACCTTGTTAGGAGATTACACTCCATTTTTTGTTGCATGCACAAAATATAGTCCCTGAAATGGAATTGAAACCTGGATTTCCCCATCTTGAGCATGCCGTATTAGGTGGAAATGACCTCCCTGTGGCTCTTGGAGGAACGCAGCTGCATGGGAAGTGTGTCCATTACTCACATGAAACAAACCAAATCCTCCCTGTGTCTTTAAGAACAGCTGCCAAGCACTCTTTGCTAGCAGAGGCAGATCCTATGGCTTAGGAAAAAGCCAGACTCCCCAGCTTGAGGCTCTGTTGCACGGGGTTGGCTCCAAAATGTCTCAACTTCGTTAAAAGGAAAAAAAACATACCTGCTCTTGCTCCACCGCCCCCAGCTTCCGCTCCTCCCCCCCACCGGCCTGGGTTCTTTTCCCTCCTTGTAACTTAGTGCTGCTAGAGAAGGACCCCACCCCAGCTGCCCCTCCCTGAAGAGTTCTCCTTCTATCTGCTGGGGTTGGGCCTGGTTTCTGAGGCATTCCCAAGAGACAGGGTTTTAGGGACCCAAGGTGAGTGTCCCTGGGCTGATGACCCCATACTCTGACCTCAGGATGTTGTGTGTCGTGTGATGTCAAGTTCATCTGCACTAATGTTTTAGAACTCAGATGTGCAGGTGTTTTCGGAGCAGGCGGTTTCAAAAGTTGTCCGTGCGTACTTTTTTATTGTTAAATAACTAACTAATTTATTTCTTAACAGCAAGACTGGATCACTATAGACACACTAGGAGACACATGCAAACATAAAACAGGAAGAAAAACACCCACCTACAGTTCTACTGGAAAATTTTCTATGCACGTGTATTTTTTGGGGGTGGGTACCAGGGATTGAACTCAGGGGCACTAGACCACTGAGCCACATACTCAGCCCTATTTTGTATTTTATTTAGAGACAGGGTCTCACTGAGTTGCTTAGGGCCTTGTTTTTGCTGAGGCTGCCTTTGAACCCATGATCCTCCTGCCTCAGCCTCCTGAGCCACTGGGATGACAGGCATGCACCACCGTGCCCAGCTCTATGCACACGTATTTTTAAATGGGGAAATATTTCAGGCATACAAAAATCTTAGGTATTCCATGGGCACCTGTGTGCTGGCCAGCCAGTTTAAGAATAATTATCATCAGTGCGCTGAAGCCCCAGAGAGCTCCACCCCACCCCTCCCTCTTGTCCAGAGGTTCCATCTTGGAATTTAATGCTTTTATTCCCAAGTATGGCCTTCTAGCAATATATGTACATTTCTAAATAACAATATGAGAATGTTCTACATGTTTGAACACGTTATATATGCTATATGTGTGTTTCAGCATTTGGGGAGCTCAGAATAGTATTTTAGAGATTTATGTTCATGTGGTGCCATAGTGTTGGATCGTGCCACTTTGCTGTGTAAGTCTCCGTGACACACATCCTGCTTAGTGGCTGGTGGGCGTTTGGATCATTTGTAATCTTCCTCTATTACAGACATTTACTGCAGTGAAATTCCTGTAGGATTCTGGGGCTCATGCTGGGAATTTCTCTAGGGCGGAGAGTCTCCAAGAATCACCTGGGGAGTTTTTAAAAGACCCTTACCCTGGGGCCTGCGCACCAGTCCCATGAAGTCCTCAGTCTCTGATCCCCCTGCAACTGAGTTTTAAGTGGATGTCACCGTAACTACCATGCTGTCTCATTATTGAGCGTTTACTGTATGATTTCTTATGATAATGCTATAAATCGATATTATTAAATTTACTTTGTGGAAGGCAAAGCTGAGGCTCAGAAAAATTAGGTAGTGAGCATCAAGTTCCCCAGGGACAGAGCCTGTGTCACAACTAGTCTCCCTGACTCCAAGTTAGGGTTGCAACCATCATACGACCCTAAGATTTTGGAGATGACAGGTAACATTTTAACTCTTTGGTTATGTGGGTGGGAAAACAGTCCAGTAGAAGGTGAGGACCACGGGAGGCTACAGGTCTCTCTCTGGACTCCAGAGCCATCTTATGTAATATGCTTAGGGAGCTGGAGGTGGGGTCAGGGAGGGAAATCCTGGCAAAGTCATCTTCTCATGACAGGTTCCGGACCTCCAAGGGCATCTGCATCTACTCGTGTCAGGTCTCCATTGCTCTATAACAAACCAAGCCAATAGTTTGCATCTTCAAACAATAAGCATTTATTACCCTCCATTTTTTGAATCAAGAATCCAGAAGCAGCTCAGCCCACCTGTCCTGGCTGGGGGTCTCTCCCTAGATTGCAGTCAGGAGGTCGTGTGGGGTGGTAGTGTCTGGAGGTGTGGCGGAGGCTCAGCACCATACACAAGGTGGCCAGGGCTTCGATGCCTCTCCATGTGGGTGACTGCTCAGTGTCCTCCCAACATGGTGGCCGACTCCTCACGGAAGGAGTGATCCATGAGTGACAGATCTCGTGTGACTGAGCTTTGGAAGTCACCCACTGTCACCCTTCCTATTTTCTATTGGCTACAACACAGATGAGCCTTGGCACAACGTGGACAGGGGCCCCGTGAGGCTCCTCAGGAGATGAGAGTCCCTGGGGACCATCTGGGAGGTTCCTCCCCTTCCACCACTGCCCCTGCCCTCTTAGTCCCCAAGGTTCTAA